TGGTGGTGGGGAGGGGGTTTGGTGCCTTGCTCAAGGGCACCTCAGCAGTGCTCAGGAAGTGATCTGGCACCTCTCCAGCTACCAGACCAACTTCCATGTTTGGTCCGCATCGTGACTTGGACAGGCGACCCTCCGGTTTCCAACCCGAGTCCCTACAGACTGAGATACTGCCGCCCCAATTTTAAGGACATCCTTGAGATTGAGGCCGAAGAACTGAGTCGTCCAAATGATTAGCTTACTTTAAACATTATCAAAGAACTGGCATGTCCAACTAGAAAACAAATCAGTCAAAAACAACACATCAGATCCAAAGAAGTCCAAATCGAAAGAGCTATGGAACAGAGAAAAAATCCTCAAGACGATGGAAGATTTAAGCGAGTCAAATCATACAAAAGATCACGAGAGCTTGATTGAAAAGATCATCAGGGGCACGATGAGTCACAATAGAAATGATCAGGAATCAAATTGAAATGCAATTTGATAAATCAAAGTCCAAATACTGATACAGAGTCCAGTGAAGGTAGAGACATCAACAACAAGATCGAGTAAAATGTCTTGGGACCATGACCAGGCTTCATTACCACAGCGTGTGTCCTGTCACAGTTTGGTTCAACTCAATGTGTTTTTTTTCTGTTGGTTGAGCTCTCAGTTGACACTGAAGGAGCCTGTAAGACGAACCAGCTGTGGCAGATTCTGTCTTAAATCACTGAAATACTCCTGAATATTAAGCTTCTGTCTGTGGTACCTGTGATCATAATATGCCTCAAAGTATTTCTCGTAGTCGACACCTAAATCCAGAGAATAATACTCTGAATCTTCACCCAGCATAACCCTGATACAAGGGGCAAAAAAATCGAGTCTACACTTTCCCATTATCATTTCCTTGTGTTTTTCAAAAAGTGTGTCCAGATCTCTTTGGTACACTGCGATGAGATTCTGTATCGGGTCGCAGGTTTGATTCTCTCCGAGTCTCTCCAGGTGAATCAGCATCTGGATGTGGAAGGCTGCTCCATTCACCCACACCTTTAAAGACTGATTCGGCATGTGCCCGTCCCTCACCATGGAGTTCTTCAACTTGGTGAGAGCGAGACTCAGCTGGCTTTCGATCCGCTCAAGGTCGCTCCTCAGCTTGTTTCTGTTCTCAAAGTGCATTGTGAATCTCTTCAAACACTCGTCGATCAGATCCCAGACCTCGGAGGTCTTCTCCTCTGCTAACACTGATCGCAGAGCCTCTTCAATGCTCTCCTCAGGCGGACTGAATGAAACCATGTCAATGATGATGGCGATGGCCAGTGCTCCAAGTCCAGCTATATCAGCAGACTTAGTGAATGCGGCCAGCTTCTCTGCCAGGTTCTTAATCCAGTCTGCAGCGCAGTCGGCCGCTTGCATTTTCCTGGTTTCGTAATGTTGTCTGAGGTTGTCTGTAGACGACTGACTGGTGTACATCACTAAGTGCTTCTCAACTCCTAGATCTGGACCATCCTTTAGACTTTCCACAAAACGGTCCAGTGCGGCCTTCTCACGCTCCTCCCAGCTCAACACATCACCCATCGTCTTGTTTTCAGATGAAAGTTGAAAATTTCTGTTTATCACTGCAACACACAAATAAATATAGAGTGAACACTGACATCCTGATATACCTGGGCATTGTAGCTGCATTTAGCATATTGATGTAGCCTACATGACGAGTAAGACACTGACTGAGATCACCTGATAGAATTACATTTGTAAAAATCCGGAGATCTTTTCCATTCTAGGACTTTTATTGTTTAATGTCATGAGTGTAATAAATGATTTAACCTCCCCTTCCCCCCTCTTTAGCTTTGGCCTCAGTATAATACTGTTGCATTGAACCTGTTAGCATGATAACATGTCCTGACACCTTCAAACTATAGCCTTAGTTTGTTAACTTAACTAAAATAATATAAAATATGAACCTGTGAGTTTTAAGTTTTGGTTTATCATCTTGGTACCATGAACATGACCTTGGCTTTAAGCCTTCATGTTTAGCCTCTGAATGTTAGTCTGATATAGCCTACTGTTCTTGGACCTTGTAGTTTTAGCCTCTGTTGGCATGACAACGCGTCTACGGTCCTTTGTGCATCAGTGTGATAGGATCATGATAGAGCCAGAGCCTGTCTTGAATATCTTCATGTTATACCAGCCTCATCTGTTTGCATGATAACCCCCGGGACCTCAAAGCTCAAGTTTTAGCGTGTCGTGGTTACCATGATAATATGTAGGTTACTGAAGCCCTTTAGTTTTAGTCTACATCTGTAATCACAACACCATGACCTTTAATTTGTATCATCCTCACAGGTCTAAAAATGATTCATTTAACCCCATGCACTCAAACAATAAGAGGCTAGACTATTAAACTTATTTATATCCTCACTTATTTATCTGTTTTCACACCCAACTCCTGACCATTATAATAACTTTGAGCTTAAAAAAAAAGCCTACACGTCCAACAGATCTCTTCCATCAGGCTATGAAAGATTTCAGTTTTGATCAGCGTGTTAATAAAAAACAAATGACGACTAAACATGAAGCTTTAAGACTGCTAGGTTAGTTATTTACCTCAGCTCTCGTCGAGATGGTGAAGTGAGATAAAGCTCACTTCACCAGGCAAAAGGGAGGAGCGGCTGGCTTTACCGCAGTGGGATACGTCGGGACGTTAACTTGGTTTTTACAACATCAGTGAAAGTGAAAGTAAAATCTGACTGCCGCAGTCCTCAATAATTGACATCAACATTAACCTGCACATGAACCCAACACGGACCTGCTTAGCCTACCTATAGCCTGTTTAAATGTGGTTCTTTATAGGCTATTATTATTATTATTATTATTATTATTATTATTATTATTATTATTATTATTATTATTATTATTATTATTATTATTATTATGTAGAGTATGGGTCTGAATTCACGTGATGATGAATAAGGCTTTTTGATATCAGCCTTTCTTCCATTTCTTTAGACTACTTTAGATACTTTTCCCCTCACTTTCTCATTTAGGCAAAAGAGATGTGTTGTTTGGTGATTTTGAGGAAGACCAAAGTATGATTTGGCCATTTATATAGGCTAGAATACTGCTTGGGAAAGTTTTATTCATAAAAGTAAATATCTAAAGAGCCTACTTTCAACGTTTTCCATCAGGAGCTATGTGACTATTTCCAAAGACTTGATAAAGACTTTTCAGTTTAGTAGAAAGAATTGCACTTGCTGAAAACCCAGACATTTTAATCTTCTTTTTCTTTAAGTCTAATCTTTATTTTATTTTTCACTGTGATCCATCGTCCTCTTTCTGTTCATGAATTGAATTAACTGCTTGATTATGGATTCCCTGGATTCCTATGCCAAGCCACCCAGCATGTTATTGTTATGCCATGTTGTGTGTGTGTGTGTGTGTAAATAAAGATAAAAAAAAAAGAAAAGTTGATGGTGTACTTAGACCTTAGCTAAAGATTTTATAATTTTAGGACTATTTTGGTATGTCGTTAAAACAAATTGGCTACAGTCTTGGTGAGCAGATTCACGGGCAATATAATCGTGCGACAATACCAGGCTAGTAAAATTGCTCGGGCCTTAAAGGTGCACTATGTAGTTTTGGTAGAGAAATGTGAAAGTTGGAGAAATGCACAGATTATGTGGTACATGTTCATAACTCTGTCCTCAGAGGAAAGTCTGGTCCCTGTAACACTGTTTGAAGATAAAATACTACACGAGAAGTTATGGTGGGGGGCCGCAACAGTGAAACCAGGTACCAGACAGTGTCCCATTTTTTCCTTTGAATAAAGTTTGTTTATTTAGTTCAGAAAATATATTATATAATTGTTTCACTTCTCCAACTTTCAAATTTCACTATTAAATCTACATAGTGCACCTTTAAATTGGGATGATGGGCTTTTACTTGAAGTTTTGGGTTATGGAGGACGAGATCTGACAGAAGTATAAATAAATAAATGTATAAATAAATAAAAGAATGAATAAATAAATAATTAAATGCGTGAATAAATAAATAAAAACTGGTAAATAAATGGGACATAAATAATTAAATGTCTTAAATGTATTTCTACATTTATTTATTTCCACATTTATTTATTTATACATGTATTTATTTCCACATTTACTCATTTCTACATTTATTTATTTCCACATGTACTCATTTCTACATTTATTTATTTCTACATTTCTGTGTCGGTATGCTAATGAGGTAGGAGGGACTAACGTCAGTCTCATTCAGGATTGGTCACAGGAGTGCGCTGCTCCAAATCTACTACTTCCGTTCAATGCTGACAGCTAGCTGAAGAAGTGAAGATGGCTTATTTCAGAGTTTGTCCTAACCCTCCTATGAATAAACTCACAGTTCTCAAGCTGGTCAGCAACTTCCCGCAGCAGGTCTTTATGTCCCATTTATTTACCAGTTTTTATTTATTTATTCACGCATTTATTTATTCATTCTTTTATTTATTTATACATTTATTTATTCATTCTTTTATTTATTTATACATGTATTTATCTATTCATTCATTATTTTATTTATCCATTATTTTATGTATTTATACATTCATTTATTTATTTATTAATTCTTTTATTTATTTATACATTTATTTATTTTTTTCTTCATTCTTTTATTTATTTATTCCAGTATTAATTTATAAATTTATTTATGTATTCATTCTTTTATTTATTTATACATTTATTTATTCATTCTTTTATTTATTTATTCCAGTATTTATTTATACATTTATTTATTTATTCATTCTTTTATTTATTTATTCATTCATTATTTTATTTATTTATTCCAGTATTTTTTTTGTACATTTATTTATTTATTTATTTATTCATTCCAGTATTTATTTATACATTTATTTATTTATTTATTTATACTTCTGTCAGATGTCGTCCTCCATATTAAATTCATGTTTCGCTCCAGTGAACAGTTCCACAGTTTGTCCAGCAGGCGGCTGTAGCGACAAACACAACGCTCGCCACTCGCCGCCATTTTCCTCAGAGCGGAAGGAGGAAGAGCAGAGGGAAAACATTAAAGTGTTCCAGTGAAAAATCCTCATTAAATATATAATTTCTGTAATGGAAGTCCCTGGACCAGACAGCGACTGGAGGAGCCCTCAGTTTCGACAAAAAGTCGTCGCTCAAATGTAAGATATGTGTGTTTCTCTTGGCTGTGTGTTTATATAAACACCTTCTGATGCGCGAGTCTCATTAGCGGAGCTATCGCGAGCTAACTGAGCCGGATTCCCCTTTGAAAAATGGTCACTTTAAACAAAATCGCAAAATTGCAGCAATTAAAACATTTTTATCAACACGGGAAACAGTTTATATTAAAATGCGGAGCCGACTCTTTAAATCGGCGTGCCTATAATAATAAAAAAACAACCTTAATTGAATGTTATGGCAGATTTCAGTGTTAGCTTTCATCGCTCATACAGCGGGCTCCCTCCTACCTCCTACCTCTTGTTTTCATGTAGGCACTGTGCAGAAATATGTTTATCTGTTGTGTTTTTGTTTGTAAGTTTAAATCCGCCTAATCATGTCAAACTAGCTAGTTCATACACACGTTCATTACCCTGAGTGTCTTCATATAAATTACCTTTTTCACCAGGTGTTCACAGAGCTGTTTAGTTAATGAATCACAGTAGCTTCAAACGTATTATGATTTTTTTTTTATTTTTACAAAGGCTACATGCAATGCAAATGTAAACATATGTATTCTTTTATTATGTGCATGCCAGAAACTTTAATGAAAGTATGGCTTTACAAATAAGACTTATTCGCGACCTGGCCAAAAGGTTAACAGCATCTCACGCCAGAATAAACATTTAGAAACAGTTTTGCAATCAAATCCTTGAAACTTGTGTTTGAGAAACTGCTCAGTCAACACAACAGCTGTAAACAAACATCATGAAATTACCACTAAGACCCAGAATAATTGTTAATTAAAGAATGAATGAGAGTGCAGGGTGACGTTGTGATTAAAATCAATAAAATAAAATCTGTGCAGAAATGTGTTTGTGCCAGTTTAACACTCAGGGGAAGAAAGGACTGAATCTGAAGAAATGTTGCCAAATGACTGCAGTTTATTTCAGTGGATTGATTGTATGTGTTTCCTCTCAGTGAGGAGGCAATGAGGAAGGCAGGAACGGCACACACTAAGTCGAGCAATGACATGGAGAACCATGTTTATGTCAAAGCCAAATCCAGAGTAAGTACTGATCCACTGCAGGATATTTTCTCACTAAACAAGAACATTATGAAGTGCGTGTTGTTTGAGTCTTTTCAGTGAAGGATGATATTTCTTTCAAGGTGTTGATATTGTTTTTTTGTTTTTTTTTAGGAGGAGTATTTATCGCTGGTGGCGAGGCTGATCATACACTTCAGAGACATCCGTAAGTTGTAACGCAATGACACGTCGCGCTCTGTGAGCTGTGAGTCAACTCCTGATTTAAAAACATCAACGTAATTGTTAGCATGCGGGCTGGGAAGTGCAGGGTAATCCACAATGCCATACGAGATACCCGGCCCATGGTGATATCGATAATATCACAATGTAGTGAATTTGCAGTCATTTCAAACACGATTCATCTGGATGTGTGATTACCTCAAGAATATAAAAAGCCACTAAAAAGTTAAAGTGCAGGATATCTGTATTTTTTAAAGGCACATCTCATCATTCTTTATCCTCTCTGACATCATCCCGCTGTCATCTTCTTTTTTTTGGCCGATTATGATGAACCCTCATTCATTCATTCCACCACGAGTAGTCATGAAGTAAGGATGCGATGAGTGAAATTGGCAGGGAGATCATTTTGCAATTTAAATATTGATAATATACACCAGCAAGTCAGGAGGAGAATGTATTACTGTATACAAGTTATTCCAGTTATCACACAGAGAATGTAGAAGAAATCAGAGTGCGGTGATTACTAATGATTTCTTTTTTTTTTTTTTTTACAGACAAGAAGACTCTTGGTGGTCCAGGTAAGTGGACTCCGCTTTTGCGCCGTTTGGTTCACTTTCCATTTCGGTTTTTCTTTGCTGTGTTCTCTCTTCTGCTGGACCTGTCACTTCCGGACTCGTAGTGTTCATGATTTCTGCTGTGCATGTTGGTGCTGCGTAATATTGTCTGTTGTTTACCCTTCTGCTAGATCCCATGAATGCCCTGACTAACCTGACAGGGGTTGGAGGGGGTCCGGGTGCCATTGGCATGGGGCCTCGCCCCACCGGTGCTCCAGTGGGTGGCATGGGGGCCATGGGGCAGATGCAGATAGGCCAGCATGCCATGGCAGGGGTGGCTGGAAACCCACAATCCAGTGAGTGTGTTTCCTCCATGTGGTGTGTGTCTTCTGTTAAAGCTGATCTTTCGTTCCGGGGATGCTGGCTGCGTTTAAACTGCAGATTTTGGTGGACCGAGTCGGTCTTCCTTTCGGTCTTCGCTTCGGCACGTTGTGTGTCTGATACTCCAGAGCTTTCCTCTGACTGAGTTGGAGATCATTTTGTCCTTCATGATCTTCTCACTCACTCTTTAGTAGGGGGTCCAGGACAGATGCCGATGCAGCAGATGGTGCAGGCTCAGCAGCAGCAGCAGCAACAGCAGCAGCAGCAGCAGCAGTCGATTCAGTTCCAGCAGTTCCAACAGGCCCAGCAGCAGCAGCAGCAGAACGCCATGCAGCAGCAGCAGAACGCTGCCATGCAGCAGCGGCAGTTCCAGGTGCAGCAGCAGCTGAGGGTGCAGCAGCTACAACAGCAACAACAACAACAACAACAACAACAACAACAGCAGCAGCAGCAGCAGCAGCACCACCAGAACCAGCAGCAGCAACAGGCCCAGAACCAGCAGCAGCAGAACCAGGTATCTTCACCACATTAACATCAATTTTATCTTTGATTTATGTATCTTAATAAACAGAACTGTGCACATAAGTGATGCTGATAGATCAAAGACTTTAAACTTGAACCTCAACGCTGCTCGACTCACCGGAATGACTGAGGAATTTGAATCCACTCCCAGAGGTTTATATCACCTACAGTATCAGATGATGATAGACATTGAAGTGCTCCAAGATTGAGGCTAAAGGTATCAAGTAAAAGATCCTCCCATCAGGAAAATTCTAAATTGTCCCTCGTATATTGCAGTTTCTTGGCGGGATAATTGCAAACAGAGGGGGGAAAAAGATTTCTACAACCAGACTGAAGTAAACCCTTCATGTCAACTTTAAAATGTTTTTTACTGTTTTGTTGTGACTGGTATTCTCTCACTTTTAGTAAAGACATCACATCACCAAACACTGCTTCTTGTGTCTGCAGATGCATCAGACGACGATTCAGCAGCAGCAGATGGTGCAGCTGCAGCTCCAGCAGCAGCATGCTCAGGCTCAGGCACAAGCCCAGGCTCAAGCTCAGGCTCAAGCTCAAGCTCAGGCTCAGGCTCAAGCTCAGGCTCAAGCTCAAGCTCAGGCTCAGGCTCAGGCTCAAGCTCAGGCTCAAGCTCAGTCCATCCAACACATGGTTCAGCAGCAACAACAGCAGGTTCAGAATCAGGCTCAGCCTCAGCCCGGTCAGATGCCTCCACACACTCAACAGCAGCAGCAGCAGCAGCAGCCCGGCATGGTGCCTCAGTCTCTGGCCGGACAGATGGCTTCCGCTCAGCACGTTCCCATCAACTCGCTCAGTCAGCAGCAGCAGCAGCAGCAGCACCAGCTCAAGATCCAGGCCTTCCAGGTGAGACTGCTGCCCCCTGCAGGCATCAACTTAACTTGATAATGTGCAAAAGCAGTAAAGTCATAAATGTGACCGGTCAGACTCTCAAGAGAATAAATCATCACCTGGAGTTCCTGTTTTCTCTGCTTTTATGCGTTGTGTGTGAGCAGACCCGAGCAGCCATGCAGCAGCAGCAGCAGGTGCAGGCGCAGCAAGCGGCACAGCAGGCCGCGGCGCAGGCACAGCTCAACGCAGCTGCTGCAGCCGGCTCAGCTGTCCCGGGACAGGTGAGATGGCAACCGCCTCCAGCTCAGGTGCTTCCTGTGAAACACAACAACATGACATCACATGACACTGACCACACGCCAGTCTGTTCTCTGTTTTAGTTTTAACTTCCAATCTAAAGATTAAACATTTTTCAATACCATCTCAGACGAAGAAATGTCCTCTTGAGAAATTTTACACAATCCAGTTTTCAAAACATTCTAAAAGTTTTCTTTATTTGAGATTTCTCCTTACTGAATAACATAAACTACCCACAATCAAGATTACACCGACAAACATTCAAGTACAGACTTTATTTTGCAAAAGACATGATCCCATTTTCTTTAATTTATTCGACTTTTACAGTGTTGTAAATTCAGGCTGGAAAAATCTTCACAGTTATAGAAAGGCAAACATTTGTGCTGCAGTGTGTGTGTGTGTGTGTGTGTGTGTGTGTGTGTGTGTGTGTGTGTGTGTGTGTGTGTGTGTGTGTGTGTGTGTGTGTGTGTGTGTGTGTGTGTGTGTGTGTGTGTGTGTGTGTGTGTGTGTGTGTGTGTGTGTGTGTGTGTGTGTGTGTGTGTGTGTGTGTGTGTGTGTGTGTGTGTGTGTGTGTGTGTGTGTGTGTGTGTGTGTGTCCTCTCTGCTCACCGTTGCTGTCATGTCTCCGTTGTGTGTCCTCTAAAGTTGGTTCGTCCTGGGATGATTACCACCCGGATGCCTCGAGCCCCCCTGAACCCCTCCATCCCCCCTCAGAACGTTGCTGCTGCGGCCGCAGCTGCCGCCGCCGCCGCTGCCGCCGCCGCTGCAGGAGGACAGCAGATGACACAGCAGGTATCTATCCCCAGACCCCTCCCTGTCCTCCACAGCGTGCTTCTGTCTGTCAGTGTCTTTAACTTCTGTCTGCCCTGATGCTTCTGCCTTTCTACAGTCACATATATTATATATTTCACATATCACCTCAATCTATGCTGCTATTGATGTGGCGAAAAGCAAACACAGATCCACAAATGTGTGTGAAGATAGAGAGACGTGCTGCCAGCCTGGTGCTTGCACTAGGTATCCCAGCATGCTTTGTGCAGTGAGTAAGCTGCCTGCAACACACAATGAATGGGAGTGTATTAGCAACAAGCTAATTTATCCCAAACAGTGCCTTTTTTTTAAACACATTTTTTCCCCTCATTGTGTCATAATCATGCATTTAAACTAAAAGGTGATATACTTTTTAGTAATTTCAGCGTTTTGGAGTACAAGTTTGATAGAAATGACTCCCGAATTCAGGACTACAACTGATTAGTGAGGCGGGGCAGTCAGTGAGCCTGTGAGCCTGAGCGAAGGGCGAAACAACCCTTCTCCGAGCACGTTTTGTTGATCACCTTAGACAGCCAATTGGGAGGCCCGACTCATGTGTAACTAATGAATGGTGTGTATTTCAGCTCCAACCAATTAAAAATGAGGTACACATTTATATGCTCTACATATCGTGTACACATTTGGTAACAGCTCCATATGATTACTACTTTTCCTTGACCTTTGCCTCTCAGGCGACATAAAGGCTGCTCCATCATATTGCTGGAGGGTTTTTGAACTATGGGCAGCAGAGAGGATATTTAAACATGATTTTGTCAGTTAAATCAGTGCGTTTATTTAAGCAGTGTTGCATTAGAGGGAGAGACGTAGTGAATATCAGCACTGCTGTTAACATCTCCTCTGGATTGTTATATTGTTTCTCTGTGACAGTTCAAAGACCGTCATATAAAAGAAAACAGTACCAATTCAACTAGTTCCACATCTGAACTGACTCTGACCCGTTGCCAAGCAACCCAAACATTCTGCTGCACTCAAACCACTTTGTCTGTTTCCATGGTGACCACAGACCTGCTACTTAGTTTGAAGTACATTTATTTGTATATTTAAATGTACCATTTGCAGCCAGCTAAATAAGAGACAGTTTTGTGATTCAGAGGTAGACTAACCAGGACAAAGATCAGCAGCTTCTGGGTTCTGTCAGGTAAAATGATTGTTTTAATTAATGGAGTCTGTTAACTGTGAAGAGAGTGTAATCAAGGTCTTTTATCTGTAATGTTTCCACACACTTAAAGTCAGTCAGTAACAGAAACATGAACTTTTAGTGGGCTTACTTTCATCTGAACTTACCACCCAAGGAGCTCTAATCAACCCTTACAGCCTCTGTCACTGCTGCTGCCTGAAGAAATGTACTGGAGTGATTCCAAAACTAGTTGAAGCTATTCATCGTTTAGAGGCTGAGGTGTGAAAAAAAAGAATTATCCATAAAGTGAAGTGTTGAAAACTAAATCCAGCAGATATTTGAATCAGACGTTCATGAAGTCTCAACGTGGGTCATAAAGCTTCAGCGGCTGCAGCCTCTCCTCCTGTGATTGGTTGATTTACCGTCTCTTTTTGTCCAACCCTCCACAGGTGCAGCAGCATTCCATGATGTCATCGCCCTCACCTGTACAAGTCCAGACCCCACAGTCGATGCCTCCCCCTCCCCAGCCGTCACCTCAGCCCCCCACCTCGCAGCCCAACTCAGCCAGGTGCAGCAGCTGGACACGTGATTCTGTTGCCCTCGGACGCTCACAGTGATTCTGATTTATTTCACTTTTACTTCATTTTTTTTATCCGTCTTCCTCTTCCCGTCTGCAGCTCCGGTCCCACGCCGTCTCCGGGGGGTTTCCAGCCTAGTCCATCGCCTCAGCCCTCACCGAGCCCCGCCAACAGTCGAACCCCCCAGAACTATGGAGTCCCCTCCCCAGGGCCGCTCAATACTCCAGGTACACACTCAAAATCGAAACACGTTAACAACAGAACTTTATCTGAACAACCTGCACAGCTGTATAATCTTTTTAGGGAACAAATGTTGCTTCTATAAAGAATCTTCTAAAAAGATCTTATCTTTCATAATAAATATATCGAATTAAACCAGGTAGGTTGTTGTTTATAACACCCTTTAGTAGAATCCCTTTAGATTCAGTTCATCATTCAATCATTTCCAGTAGACTTCACTACATGTTTGATCATGGAGCACTCACACTCCTCAAACAAACTGGACTTTGGAGGTCTAACATGCTTGGGCACGGTACGGGTTGCCTAGTGTGAGAGCGCCCTAAGTGAAACGTTTAGTGCTGTAAAGACAGTCGCTTCTCTGAAGTCTGAGGGCAGGTGCTGCTGATTTTCAGAAACACACTCACACGTTCTCCTCTCACTCACTTTGAAGATTTTTCTTGACAGTTGTCTCATGATGGTGCTGCATTGACGACCTTTATCTTAAAATTGGCGTCATAACTCCGCCTCAGTTAACTGTGGCTGTTTACAAAACCACCTACTCTACTAGTAGTGCATACTGATATGACCAAAAACACAATATGCCAAAAATCACCAGGATGCGTATGATTCAGGAAACATCTACAGTATGCATCAGACCAGTCTTCCTTGTGTACTGTTTCCCACAATGCAAAGCGCCAGGTCAGTGATTCAAATTACGGACAGCAACGGTCATCATAACAAGGGGAAATAATCACAATCAGACCAAACCACACAAAAATACCACCAGTTATCTCTTTGGATTCTCAAAATCATAAAAATCTAAATTAGTTCCTCTGAAGATGACTCCGTGTTTTCAGTCTGTCAGAGTTTTTTTTTTTTTTTTAATCCAGACATCTAAAGTAACCTGAGACTTCAGGCTGCTGTTTCTAGCAGGGATAAATCGTAGAGCAGACAAAACAAGGGGAGGACTCTGGGAACAGAAGCCTCTCAGAACATAAGAAGACATAGTAAAATGTAATTACTAATGATTCCTCCCTCACTCCCTCCCGTCCTGCAGGTAACCCGAGCTCGGTGATGAGTCCGGCTGGACCCACGTCTCTGGAGGATCAGCAGTACATGGAGAAACTCAAACAGCTCTCCAAATACATCGAACCTCTGCGCAGGATGATCAACAAGATCGACAAGAACGAAGGTCAGACTCGGAGCTCAGACTGTCCGTCAAAAAAATCAATACAATGTTTCATGGTTAAACATTTCAGACCGTGATGTCTGCAGGAATTTGATTGTAGATGAAGATAGATCTAAAGACGTCACCTTGGACCTTCAGGCTCCTCATAGACGAAGCAGTGAATGTAAGTCATTACAGAAGCGTTAATATTTTTTGTGTTTGTTTACAGACAGAAAAAAGGACCTGAGTAAGATGAAGAGTCTGTTGAACATCCTAACTGATCCAAACACCAGGTAGCAGCTGAAAAATGAATCTCACACCGATCATCAACGCTTTAATTGACTTCAATTAACTCATTTGTGTGTGTGTGTGTGTGTGTGTGTGTGTGTGTGTGTGTGTGTGTGACCTGCAGGTGTCCTTTGAAGACGCTGCAGAAGTGTGAGATCGCTCTGGAGAAGTTGAAGAACGACATGGCCGTGGTGAGAACGTTTCCTTCTGTCCAAACTTTTCTTCTGATTGAAACTTAAACTCCTCTTGCTGTGTCTTAAGCTTTTGTCAGACTGTTTGTTTTTTTGTTTTTTTCTGCAAAAGTGCCGCATGCAAGTTCAGCCGTCATCAAGCTTTTTACGTTGGTATAGATTCTGCAAAGGTGAAATATTGGTGCCTCAGGGTGATCACTTCGTCCCCCTATTACGCCTCTGCGACATTCAGAGGGGACGATGATGTTATGAGCCGCGCTAACCGACTCTTCCAACAGGACTCTCTGCCTCTTGTCTGTTGTTTTTAGAAAGTGGATTTTTATTTTTATTTTTAAGATACATTTTTGGGCTTTTTGTGCCTTTTAATGGAGAGATAGGAGAGTGGATAGAGCTGGAAATCAGGGAGAGAGAGAGAGTGGGGTATGACATGCGGGAAAGAAGACACAGGCTGGATTCGAACCTGAACCCGCCCGCTTGGAGGACCATAACCTCCATACATGGGGTGCGCTCACTAACCACTGCGCCACCAGTTGTTTTTTTTTTGTAAACCGCACACAAAGCTCATTGCTCCTGGATAATAACGGAGTAACACAGCTCACGTTGCTCCAACACACTGAATAATATTTTTAACATCTGATGTGTGATTGAAAGTTTGATGTGTTGTTTCAGCCGACGCCGCCTCCCCCTCCAGTTCCCACCAAGCAGCAGTATCTGTGTCAGCCGCTGCTGGACGCCGTCATGGCCAACATCCGCTCTCCGGTCTTCAACCACTCTCTATACAGGACCTTCGCCCCCGCCATGACCACCATCCATGGACCCCCCATCACGTACGTGTCACACAGATCAGGAAACTGTGTTTGCGATCAGTCGCCATAGTAACAGGGACAAGCCAAATCTCCAAAGGAGGCTTTAGAAATGGGCATCTCAAAATAAAGTGCTCACTTTAGAATAACTTCATAACTTCCTTTACTATTTTAGTTCACAGGGACGATAGTTGTGAATATTTACAGGAGTTTTTTTGTTCTTGTCAGGGGTCCCATCGTCTCGGGCAGGAAGAGGAAACACGAGGACGACGAGAGGCAGACCATCCCGAACATCCTGCAGGGGGAGGTGGCTCGCCTCGACGTCAAATTCCTCGTCAACCTTGATCCTTCGTTCTGCAGCAACAACGGCACCGTGCACCTCGTATGCAAGCTTGGTGAGTATAGAAAAATCTGAGGGAGGGGGGGGGGGGTTGGGACCTGAAAGATAAGCAGTGAACCACCTTCATAGTACAAAAAACTCAGAATTTCCCTCGAGAACTGAACACCCTGCTTCGTAGTTTACCCTCCCCCTAAGGCTAACTTTGTTTTAATGTTATTGTGTCCTCAGACGATAAAAACCTCCCCAGTGTTCCTCCTCTGCAGCTCAGTGTTCCTGCAGATTATCCTGATCAGAGTCCGTACTGGGCCGACGACGGGGAGCAGTATGGTGAGACACACACACACACACACACACACACACACACACACACACACACACTTTATAGATGTATGGTGATGAAGTTGAGACAGACATATACAGACTGTTGGAGAAATGCAACAAGTGAAGCTGATTCCAGAACTTTGCAGCTTTGAAGTTTATGTGCTAGAATGTTTTAAAGTCCGGCCCCCATGGTGTCTGTTAAGAAAAAAGCTGGCCTTTGTGCAAATGTAGTTGATGAGCCTTTGGTCTAATGTGTCAAACATAACGAGCTGATTGGGTGAATGATTCGTCTCTGATTTTTCCAGGTGCAAACGGCTTCCTGCAAACGGTCCACAAAAACATGACGTCCAAACTGCTGCAGCTGCCTGACAAACACTCGGTGACGGAGCTGCTCAACACCTGGGCTCAGAGCGTCCGCCAGGCCTGCCTGTCTGCTGCATGAAGCCCCGCCCACCTGAGGTCACCTGACAGCATTGCTTTGACACAAAGACACTTTTTTTTTTTTTTAAATGACGTAAACACTAAACGTCTGACCTTGGACAGGTTTCATCAGTGAAGTGTTTAGGACAAACGGCTCCACCTGTTGACGGTTTTCATTAACATCAAGAAGCTGCTGTGTCCCACGCTCCTGAACGCTCCATGAGCTCAACCTGCGGATGTTAACAGAATGACATACCTGATCAAATCCCTGATGCATTCTGGGAAAATTAAGACTATTTGGCATGATGCTGATGGAGCCCCCTCGCCTGTTTACACCTGCGTCATAGAGTGTCCTTACGTCGACATGTTTCTGCTGTATTCAAAAGCCTTATTGTGAAACAGCAGATTTTAGCCGCTTACTTGTATTTAATTTGTTTCTGCATCAACAGGAAACAAAAAAAGGGAAAAGAGTAACAGAACCGCATGTAACAGCTGAACTCTCAAATCTCCCGATATATATTCTGCTCCCCTGAATGCAACACAGAATGGTTTGTGTTTGTTTGAATGAGTTTCTGTTTTTGTACCTCAGAGAGGATCTGTCATAAAGAACTTTAAGAAATGTTTGTACACTTTGCTTTTCAAAGTGAAAATATAAATGTATTTTTTTGCTATCATAATTAAACCTTTCAGTTTCAACTTTTTAAATTAGTTTCAGTCACTTCAGTTTGTCCCGATCAGAAAAAAACAGCAGTTTAACTGTTGAAATCAAGAATCTAATTTAAGGTCAAATGTTCACTTGGTGAGTTGTAAGTCGTTTGGGCTGCTCGTGGTGCAGTGGTGTGCTGTTTCCTCACAGCGAGGAGGTGTCTGGTTTGAATCCCCGTCTGACAGGAGCCTCTCTTGCACGTTCTCCCGGTACATGTGTGGGTTCTCTCCGGGTACTGCTGCTTCCTCCCACAGTCCAAAGTCATGCTCGTTAGGTTAATTGGTGACTCTAAAATTTCCCGTGAGTGTGGCTGGTTGTCCTTCTCTATATGTCAGCTGGGATCGGCTCCAGCCCGAATGAGTTAAAAAAGCGGTAAATATAACAGATGGATTTAAAGGAATTTGGGTTGGTGTGCTTTGGCGCCTACCAAAGGTCTCAGAGTGTAACTGCACCGCCCCTCACAGGCTGCGTTCACACTGCAGCCATTATTTTTTACTCGTGTGACTCAGATCTGATGTTTTTATGATCGTCTGAACAGCACAAGTCACATCAAATCAGATTTAGGCCACTCCCACAGCAGTCTGATGCAGTCCACATTTTATTCACAATGTGAATTGCCAAACATTATGAAATCTGAATCAAGCTTTAAGTCCTGCAGTGTTGACGCAGCTGCGACGAGGACTGTAGCCTCTGTACATAACCGCTAGGCTATCCAGCGCCGTGCTTGTTTTTGATGTGTCAACAAACACAAAGCTGTCTTTCTCCCTCTGTGTCCACTGGTCATTATGCTAAGCTAAGCTAAGCAGCATTGTTACCCAGTGTACAGAAACTGAAGGCATCATTTTAAACATCTGACTCTCAAAAGAAGAAATCTTCAGATTGTCAAAGTTTTAGTTTTCTAAATTATTTTTCAAACTCTGACCACGGTTGTCTGTTGGATTTTATTTTGAAAAAAAACCAATTCAGTCAACTTTGTTTTTGGTTGTTTATTTACCACAAATAATTAAAAGAGTTTGTATAAAATGAGACAAAATATTTTATTACCTTCAGAATAAACGATACAAAAGCAGTGAACGGTGTTTCTAAAAACTGTGGAAATACTGACAGAAACCAACATGTCACCACGTCGCTGAGCGCGTTTCAGAAGCTGAGTGAAAACGCTCGGTACGACAGGTTAGTGAACACGTCGATGCGATTGCTGGTGCCGCCCACGGTCAGGACCTGGAACACACAAACACAGTTATTTACTTTTTTAAATAAAAGCTTTACATTAAAATTAACAGACAATCACCACAGGGGGGGGGAATGATGTGTTCAAACCCTCTGTTGTCTTTCTGTGAGGATGCGATGCGTTCACTGACTCACCCTGTGCTCGGTGCTGTTGGTGTTGAGCTGCAGTGTGTTCAGGCTCTGCGGTGTGCAGGGGATCTGAGCTTTGACGTCTCCACCCAGCAGACAGTGGGACACGTACGGACCTTCACCGACGGTCAAGATCTACGGAGGGAGAAGGTGAACAAACAGGGTCGATGCTTTTAGGATCATTTCAAGAGATCAACAAATCGTCTTAAATTGTTCGAATAAGAAGTTAAGAGTCAATACAATATTTTTTACCCCCCTCCAAAAAAAGACATTCATTCATGCTTCACGCCCTCTAAGCTTTTCCTCCTCACTCGTCATCAGACTGTCATCTCCAAATCCTGACTCTTCCCTCGTCTGCTGGCTAACATACAATTATTATGATAACAGAAACAAGCGGCCTTTGTCCGGTGTCTTTAGCTCGCAAACAAATCCACACTACTACTCATAAGATCATGCTTCTTTGTGTGAGAATCAAACAGTCTCTAAATGACAATTTTAAACTTTGGGAATTTGAAAGGAGCTGTGAACAACCGTTAGTATAACTCTCTTCAACACAGCGTCACACGCCCATCAGGTGTTTCCAGGGATCCTTTGGTCAATTAACTTTTTTTTTTTAAAGATTTATTTTTGGGCTTTTTGTGAGTGGATAGAGTTGGAAATCAGGGAGAGAGAGAGAGTGGGGAATGACATGCAGGAAAGGAGCCACAGGCTGGATTCGAACCTGGGCCGCCTCATGGGAAGACTATAGCCTCCATACATGGGGCGCGCGCACTAACCACTGCGCCACCGCTCAATTAACTTCTGATAACGTCACTCTCATACTTGTCACTGTCAATGTGAGGAGTCAGGGTGACGCTAAATTGCTGTACCGATATCTTGACCTATCCCTGACGCCAACACAGCATAATGTAACACACTCCAGCCTAATGTAACACACTCCAGCCTCACACACTCCAGCCTAACACACTCCAGCGTCACACACTCCAGCCTAACACACTCCAGCGTCACACACTCCAGCCTCACACACTCCAGCATAATGTAACACACTCCAGCCTCACACACTCCAGCCTAACACACTCCAGCGTCACACACTCCAGCGTCACACACTCCAGCGTCACACACTCCAGCATAATGTAACACACTCCAGCATAATGTAACACACTCCAGCCTAATGTAACACACTCCAGCCTCACACACTCCAGCCTAACACACTCCAGCCTCACACACTCCAGCCCGGCGTCACACACTCCAGCGTCACACACTCCAGCATCACACACTCCAGCCTAACACACTCCAGCGTCACACACTCCAGCCTCACACACTCCAGCCTAACACACTCCAGCGTCACACACTCCAGCCTAACACACTCCAGCCTAACACACTCCAGCCTAACACACTCCAGCGTCACACACACTCCAGCGTCACACACACTCCAGCCTAACACACTCCAGCGTCACACACACTCCAGCATCACACACTCCAGGCTAACACACTCCAGGCTAACACACTCCAGCGTCACACACACTCCAGCCTAACACACTCCAGCCTAACACACTCCAGCCTAACACACTCCAGCGTCACACACACTCCAGCGTCACACACACTCCAGCCTAACACACTCCAGCGTCACACACACTCCAGCATCACACACTCCAGGCTAACACACTCCAGGCTAACACACTCCAGCGTCACACACACTCCAGCCTAACACACTCCAGCATCACACACTCCAGGCTAACACACTCCAGCGTCACACACTCCAGCGTCACACTCCAGCGTCACACACACTAACAGCGTGAGAGAGAGCGAGCTCACCAAGTCCTGGTGGAAGGTGGCCTGTCTCTGGCTGCCCTTCAGCGGGAAGACGGAGGTCGGAGACAGAGAGCGGAGATGCCACAGGGACAGAGACGGACCTCCACCGCACAACTGGAAGGAAAGAGACACAGGAGAATGAAGAACATGTTTTTACTCTAAATAAATAGATTTTCCCCAAAGCAAAGAAGAAAAAAAACAAAGCGTCAGCTGATTCCAAACGATACAATTTTTTTGCATCCCCTCCCTGCCTTCACCTGAAGCGATAGATTAATAATCATAAAAACATCTCCTCCTATCCCAGACACATATAAATGAAGGTCTAGTGAGTGTGCGTCTGTGTTTTCTCACCATCCAGTCGGAGTCTGTGGTCAGACAGCTGATCCATTTACCGTACTGAGGCCGAGCACAGCTCTGAAACAGAACACGTGGTCACCTTTCTTCTCGAAGAGAAAAACATTAAAAAGATGGAGAGAAGGGAGTTTCCTCACCTCGTATTTGTAGAGCTCGATGCAGTGAACACACTGATTTGTCCGGCTGTCTGAACAACACAACATCAGTGATTAATATGAAAACATTCTGCTGCTTTTTACACCCGAGTCCAACATGGCCGCCGCCGACACTCACCCCACATCCTCACGGCGCCGTCCTCCCCCCCCGACAGGATCTCGGCCTCCCTCTCTCTCACGCTCACACAGTGGACGTAGTCCGAGTGACCCTGCAGCACCGCCTGAAAAACACAACACAGTTTTGAGCGTCCGTTAGAACGCATTCCAAACTCCTCAGTGAAGAGGAGGAACTCCGGGATTTCCAGGTCAGACCTTGAAGACTCCGTTCTCCAGGTCCAGGATGTGGATGTTGTTGTCTCCTCCTCCGATTACCAGACTGTTGTCCTGAAACACAGAGACACGGAGCTCAGCACGACCTGTGAACGCATCACGCTCTCACAAAGACAAAGAGGGCGTCGGCCAAACTGTCAGACTCAAGGCCTGAAAACAGTGGAGAAAAAAAAAGATTCATGTTTGAAATCAAAGTTTCTCTGAAGCGTCGACGGATTCATCTCATCAGGATCTGATCTGGTACTGAGGAGGTGGATTCATCTCATCAGGATCTGATCTGGTACTGAGGAGGTGGATTCATCTCATCAGGATCTGATCTCGTACTGAGGAGGTGGATTCATCTCATCAGGATCTGATCTGGTACTGAGGAGGTGGATTCATCTCATCAGGATCTGATCTCGTACTGAGGAGGTGGATTCATCTCATCAGGATCTGATCTGGTACTGAGGAGGTGGATTCATCTCATCAGGATCTGATCTGGTACTGAGGAGGTGGATTCATCTCATCAGGATCTGATCTCGTACTGAGGAGGTGGATTCATCTCATCAGGATCTGATCTGGTACTGAGGAGGTGGATTCATCTCATCAGGATCTGATCTGGTACTGAGGAGGTGGATCCATCTCATCAGGATCTGATCTGGTACTGAGCAGTAAACCGTCCACACTCACTCTGGGGTTGATGATCATGGCGTTGATCTCGGGGATCTCCAGACTGGATCTGAGGACAGAAACAGAACAAACGGCTCAGGAGCTGGAGTCTTCAGGACAGACAGACAGACAAACAGACAGACACACAGACACACAGACAGACAGACAGGAAGCAAATTGAAAATGTGCCTCACTTGTAGTTTGGTCTTTTTGTCCACACAGGTTTGACATTCTGAGGACATAAAGAGAGAAAATCATGTTTAAAAATCATCACCATGTGTACAACCTATCCCACCAGTTTTATTTTACATCATTTTGTTACTATACTGTCCCCATGGTTTTTCTTTGTCCTGTTTGCTCATTTACTTATTTTGTCCCTTGCTGACCCTTTTCCTTTTGTTTTGTTTGTCTGTTTGTTTTTGTCTAAATCTGCTTGCAAAACTGTATCGTACCACAGTTCCCCTCTTGTTTGTATCTCTTTTTTTTTTATTTGTTATTGTGTGAGTGTGTGTATGCACGTTTTGGTGAATAAAAGTAAAAAAATATATATAATAAGAATAAAGAGAGAAAAATCAAACAAAATCTAAAAAAATCAGTGGACGCACTTTGATTTATTTGAGAATCAGCTTGTAGTTATTACAGCTTGTTTCGCCGCTGCAGAATGTATCAATCTATGGAAGCAATTTAGACTCCAAGTTGTCTAAAAATAATGCCCAGATCTAAAGTATTAGAATTTCCCTTTAACAATCGTATCTTTTTATTGAACTGAAAACTCTGAAGAACAGATCATGAGAGAGAGTAAACAACAGTGACTGAATGTATCTTGTTGTTAAGTCTATCTCCATCTGTACCTCCACCTGGAGTGTTTGTTGCGCTGGTTTGAATTTAAAGTGACAGTCACCTTCTTGATAAGTTCGGCCCAGCTCCAGGCGCTGACCTCTCCGTTCCCTGCACTGAGGAGCTGACAGTCGGTGGAGAGGAGACAGAACACTGGACCCTCATGAGCTGACGGAGATAATAATAAAAAAAAAAAACATTAAGTTATTTTCTTTTTTCAGTTTATTAAAGGAGCAGCAGCTATTAGCCTCATGCTAATGCTAACATTATAGTGTGTTTGTACTCACCTGTGAATGTGAGGACAGGTTTCTGACTCAGTCTGGTGGCCTCTGGACTCAGAGCTGCAGACAAGCTGCAACATTTCAACACATAACGATGGTTAATAAAGCTTTGTAATACACTTTCACAGACTTGCTGCAGGTGGCTTTAAGCTCTCAGGTATGTATGCTGTCTCACCTGAAGAGGGCGATCTCTCCGTAGTTGTTACCGGCTGCCAGGTATCGACCACATGGAGAGAAACTCTGAGAGAAGACGGTCATGTGGAGCAGCTGCAGAACAGAGGCGACAAACGTTACTACACTTGCTTTGATGTGAGTCATTTTGATTCATTTATTTTGAAAAATCTGTGCCAGGTGACGAGAAACTTTCAATGGATTCTTGTTCCTGATGTCCGTGGCCGTACCTCTGAGACTTTTCAGCAGATTTTACTGTACAATTTTTGAAATAATTGAAGTTGAATTCTGCTCAAATTGCAAAGAGACACTGATATTTTAGAATTGTTGCTTAATTTTTTTTTAATCTGTGTGAGGTGACAAGAAACTTTCAATGGATTCTTGTTCCTGATGTCCTTGGCTGTAGTGCTGAGAATTTACAGCAGATTTTACTGTAGAATTTCTGAAATAATTAAAGTTGAATTCTGATCAAATTGCATAGAGACACATTTAAAAATGCAGATTATATTTTTAGAAATGTTGATTATATTTTTTTTAATTTGTGATAGGTGACGAGACACTTTAAATGGATTCTTATTCCTCATGTCCCTGACTGTAGTCCTGTGAATTTTCAGCAGATTTTACTGTGTAGTTTTTTAGATAATTAAAGGCAAAGTCTGCTAAAATTGCATTAAGACGCTTTGATATTTGATTCATATTTGATATCTTATTTTGACAAATCTGTAATAGGGGACGAGAAGCTTTAAATGGATTATTATTCCTCATGTCCCTGACTGTAGTCATGAGAACTTTCAGCAGATTTTACTGAATAGTTTTTGAGATAATTAAAGGCAAAGTCTGCTAAAATTGCATTAAGACGCTTTGATATTTTAGTCATATTTTATATTTTATTTTGAAAAATCTGTGATAGGTGACGAGAAACTTTGAATGAATTATTATTCCTCATGTCCCTGACTGTAGTTATGAGAACTTTCAGCAGATTTTACTGAACAGTTTTTTATTGATAATTAAAGTTAAAATCTGCTCAAATTGCATTAAGACGCTTTGACATTTTATTTTGAAAAATCTGTGGACTCACTTGACTGCAGTACAGTTTATTCAGTCACTTCTCACCAACAGTATGTGGGTGACTTTACAACTACAACAGCCATGTAGTCAATCCAATGAATACCCGAATTTGACAGCAGACTATCTTTGATATAACTATGTCGTAAAAATATTTCTGTTTTATAAGAAGTCCTACTTAAAAGCAAGAAAATCAAAAATCAGCAGAAATCTGTACGGAGTTTGGCCTTAGGTTTGACTTCTCCCCATGGAACCCAACACGAGCAACACCAAGGAAAATAATTCACATTCAAATCCAAATTTAACATCTTATGTTGTTTATCTTTGTTGTCTCTGGGAATTAACTTCATGCTAGCGCGGTTAGCCACATTTCTGCCAACAACAACAACACACAGCACATCGCGCCGATCTAAACCATCAGCCAGGTTTCTGTCATTTAAACCAGTTATCGGGTTAATAATCGGATCATTAAAAGTGCTACACTTTACCTCTACGGGACCCATCCTGCTGCTCATCCTGCAGTGATCAACTGGAGCACAAAGTTGGAATTAAAGCAGGAAAAAAAAAAACCTAAAACGGTGTGAAGGAAAGGAAGGAGCTGAATGCCGGCGAGGGGAGATAACGTCTCTATGTGAGAGGCAATGCATTCTGGGACATGTAGTACAGACTCAACCAGTAGAATTCGGACTCAATTGGCGAGTAGAAACATTATGAATGATGATTCGTGGATATTGCGAAGGAAATGTATTTAACAATTATTGTGAATTAGATAAATATGGACTTGCTATGATTTTGTGATTACTGTGTCTTTAAAAAATGTTTTTTTTACTTTATTAAACAGACTCAAGTGTCATTGTATGTTTGAAAAAGAAAAATCACTCATGATTATTGGACTGAAAAGTAGGCTACCTAATCTAAACAGGTAGCCTGCCAAAGACTAAATAGAATTAAAACAATGGTGATGCCAGAGTTGAATAACAATCTAAAAAAGCATAAAAAATAAAACATCTTTTAACATTTGATTGAACATTTTAGGATAGGATAGGATAGTATAATACTTTATTGATCCCCAGAGGGGAAATTCGGGCGTTACAGCAGCACAGACAAGAAAGCTCAAAAATACCTCACCAGCTTGTTGAACCTGTTTGCCTCACCAGTCTTGATTCCACCCCACCAGCATGCCACAGCAAAGAAGAGGGCACTGGCCACCACAGACTGGTAGAAGGTCTTCAGGAGTCTGTTGCAGACACTGAACGATCTGAGTCTCCTCAGGAAGAACATCCTGCTCTGTCCCTTCCTGAGCAGGATGTTCTTCCTGAGGAGACTCAGATTTTGCTGATTCTTATTTTTTTTTCTTCCAAAAGCACATTATAAATTAAGACCTTCGACGTTTTTCTGTACAATTCTATGAAACTTTGTTATTATTGTATGAAAGATTTATTGTAAATCTCTCGCTTTATGTTACTTAGTGTTGTTTTGACACGTTTAAATTCACAAGACCAGCTTTAACGCAACTTGATAGCCTATTGATGCGATTGACTTTTTCCTAAGCACACATTAACTCCTAAGTCTTGGTTTATTGGTTGGATGTATTGTACCTATATGATGTTTTATTTCTGCTTCAGGAAACAATGAGCTGCTTTACAACTTTTTCTTTTTTTAAAATTCATCTAACATCACAGCAGTGAAAAGGCCACAACATTTAAAAAACAAGGGACACAAATCAATATAAATATAAATGTATAGATTTCAAGATACAGTATTGATAGTTTTGTTAAGTCATCCGATTTTGTCTTAAACCGGAACCGATGAAAGAGGTCAGGGAAAAATTAACAGCAAGAATTGATCAATAATTTTTTATGAATATTAAAGGCTTATCCCAAAGAATGGATCTGTAGCAGATGCATTCTGGGCTGGGCCTTACATTTGAATCTTGAGCCCATTCAATCAAAAGATCATAGATATCAAAAATAAAATATATCTATTTATTGACGCAGTAGGTGCAGAGACATGCAGGTGAAAGATCATTAAACGATGATGGGTAGTCTATGGCTAAACCCTGCATTTTCCAGCACAGGATGAACATGTGTACATGTGTCCACCCTCCAGGACATCTTCACAAGGAGGAGCACAGCCAGGACAAACAGGATCATGAGTGATCCCCACCACCCAGGTAACGGACTGTTTACGTGGCTACCCTCTGGCAGGCGCCTTCGACACATCAAGGCGAACACAGAAAGACTCAGGAAGAGCTTCTTTCCTCAGGCCGTCCGGACTGTTAACTCCACTCTCCTCAGTTAAAAACAAAACAGAACTAAACAAAACAGAACTGTGATTACATGATGCACACACACCACACATTCCAATCTGCACATTGCACTTTGACACCCTTTGACACCCTGGACACTTTACACTGTTTACATTAACCTATTTTTTACATTTTACATTATATTCTATTTTACTGTATATATGTGTACATGTTCATGCTCCATCCAGAGCACTAAGGTCCTCCAACCAGCTGCTCCTGGACGTGCCCAAAACAAGGCTCAAAACAAAGGCGATCGAGCCTTTTGTGTTGCAGCTCCGACACTTTGGAACAGATTACCATTTAAAATAAGATCTGCTGCCACAACTGAACAGCTCAAGCCATTTTTAAAAACCCATTTCTTTTCCATGGCTTTTACCTCTAGTTGAGTGTTTTATCCCAGCAGCAGTGTCTACTAGATCTCTTACTATTGTTTTGTGTTTTAATTTAATTTACTTTAACGTGTCTTTATGATGTTTTGGATGTAATGTATTTTGCCTAATTTACTGTACAGCACTTTGGGCCGCCTCAGCTGTTATAAATGTGGTATATAAATAAAGTTGACTTGACTTGACTAGTAATTTGAGTGTTTAGGATAGGATAGGATAGTATAGTACTTTATTGATCCCCAGAGGGGAAATTCGGCATTACAGCAGCACAGACAAGAAGCTCAAAAATACACATTAAACAGAATAGATAAGATAAATAAAAATAAAAATAAAAATAAAAACAGGGGTTATATACAAGTACAAAATGAATGATGAAGTTAACTGGGGGGAATTGAGAATTGAGACAGTTTATCGCATGGCCTTGCGGAACAGTCTTTACATTTCACTGCACATCTGTATGAGCATGTGACAAATAAAAATCTTGAATCTTGAATCTTGTATTTGTGTGTGCAGAATGGAAGTTGATAAAAAAAAAAATGACCTCGGGGGGTGTCATTTGCCCCATCCTGGCACGGCACGGCTCGGCTCATTTTGCAGGCCGAGCAGTTCCAATGCTTTTTAATTAATTAAAAAAAAAAAAAAAAAAAGATCAGACATGCATGTCACAAGAAAAGCACAAAGGAGAAACAGATAGAGCCGCCTGATCATTAAAATTACCGTTCAAAAACAAACAAACCGGTGTTTTCTCTTATTGCTGCTGTTTTTTCCATCCTGCGCATGATGACGCGTCAACGTGTGCGCTCGGTGCTCCGCGCGGCTAGCAGCGGCAGGAAGTCGGCTATGCTGCTGTGGAAGCGGCGGTAACGGTGGGGGGGACGAGCCAAGAACCAAAAGTCGGTGACAGAAGAGGAGGAGGAAAAATAAATAATCATGCCTAATCCGTGAGACCTGCAGTTTTTTTGTTTTTTTATTTACATCGCAACGCCGTGCATCGTTCACGCTGCGTGCGCAAAAGGGCCAACCGAGGGGTAAGTTTGACGCGGAAAACGGTTGAAAATCGCGGTTTTCCATCAAAGGGGGCCGCGGTGTGTTCGTCGAGATCTTTGTGTAGCTCCGGGCTAGCCTCGGAATGCTAACCACTCATGCAGCGGCGTCACATTTTTACTGCAGGAAAGCCTTTATTTACAAGTGGAAATCATTGTTTTTTTCTTAGCGTTGCACTTTCTCATGCACACTCTTGTTTGCGTGTTTTGTTGTTTTGAACTTCCGTTTTTTTACCCTCTTTCTGGCATCGCGGCGGGGGGGGGTGGGGAGGGAGGGAGAGGGGGGGTTGCTAACCAGCTAGCCTAGCCTGCTGCTAACATTAGCTCGGCCGAGTCTCTCTTTTTCCGCCTCCATTTCAACAAAATATTGTATTTATCAAAACCTGAATATCACCACGGTAATGCGTAGTTTGGTTTTTTACGTCATTTCCCTGCGCTTGACGCGTCTCCGGGATTTAATTTTAAGGCAGCGGGAATAGCATGCTCGGCTGTGGGGGCTAAAAAACGGAGCTAACCCCGTTAGCATGGGGGGAAAATGGCTCGCTTGCTTGAAAGCCATTTTCCGATGGAGATGGGGTCTCAGTGAAAGTGGGCTTGACTGTGGGTGTTTGTCCCCGCTGTGCTGGTGGCATCATGTCGGATATAACTAGAAAAGTCAGCATTTTTTTTTCTTCCCCCGTGTTACTCTGCACGGCTGACCGGGCTCCCAGTGTCGCTCCTTCGGTTATATTCGGGAGGGGGGGGAGTCGGCCGAAGGAAATGTCGGCCGTGTGTCGGTGAAATGCCGCTTTTGTCCCCGATAAATTCATGCTGGGGCTGAACCCAAGCAAGAGGAGACGGGCCAAGGTCAGGGAGCCGTGCTGCGGCTGCAGAGGCTGTTTCTCTGCCAAACCTCGCTGTAGTAAAGGAAAGTAAAATGTAGATGGCAGATTAAGAGTTTTTATGTGGGGTTTGAATTCAAAACAACCCATGTGTGATCAAACCCGGGTTATGTATTCACGGAGGGGTGGGGGAGAGGGGGAACCAGGTTTGAATCTGAGCTACCTCCAGGACCACACACAGAGAAACGCAGCCGACTGTTTTCGTGAAGAAAAAGGGAGCAAGTTTTAATGAACCAGGCTCGTTTTTTTGTTTTTTTTTGAGCGCCGACTCGGTTTGTTTACATTATCTGCAGCTTAGTGGGAAGAAGAAAAAAAAAAGTTGGAAGGAAAAAAACAGAAAAGGGGTTTTTTTTTTTTGATTGGCTGCTGCTGCAGAGAGCAACGATTCAAATCTGTTTATGAATGAGATGCTTCATTTGGGGAAAATCTGTGCTGGATTGTTAATGATAAATGTCCTCAGTGTGATATTGTAGTTTCACAGAAGAAAAAGATGCAGGATGGGGAAAATAAATACACATAGACAAAAATGTCAAGTTAAAAGTTATATATGCACTCTGGAAATGTCATAATGTAATCTGATAATTATTTTAATAATCAGTTAATATGAAATAAATGTTGAATATTTATTATTTATTTATTTTTTATTTATTTGTTAGGGACAGTGCATATTTATGAACAGTTGTAACAATTACAGCTGTAAAAATGCCAGATTATAGCAGAAGTGCTATAGTTTCCATCTGTTGTCCCTAGGCAGGTAACAGAGAAAGATAAAATACAAAGGCACAAGTGACACAAGACAATAATCAGGGTTAAAGGTGGTCACAGACTTGGTTTTCTTCTATCCACTGTTTGAGGTGTGTTTTGAAGGTTGCATATGTTTGTGAGTCTCTTATTGTGAGTGGGAGAATATTCCAATATTTAGTTTCTTTGACTGACAGAGCAGTTTGTCTGAATGTAGTGCATCTGTATGAATAGAATAGAATTACTTTATTGATCCCAAACTGGGGACCTCACAGTCTCCTCGGGCTGTGGCCCCTGGTGCCAATCCCACTGGCAGACTTCAGATTATCTGTAAAGTGTTTAAATAGAATAGTTAAAATAAAAGTTTTATTTTAGGAACTGTACTACCTCTCAGTTGGTCACAGACTTAAAATCTACCTGATTGATTCGTTGTTTGAAAAATGAACCAAAGCTATTTAATAGAAATGTTGTTGTTTTTTACGGACAATACCTTGTAAGCGAGGAGATGTTTTTCTGCCAGGTTATATGTTGTAAAGGGTGTCTCACATTCTTCAGTGACTCTGCTGTTTGGTTTCCCTCACGTCAAACATCTGGCCGAGCTCGGCACCTCCTCCGTGTTTATTCTGACCGCTTCTTTACTTTCCTTTATTATCTCTGCAGTTCTTTACATTAATTGTGAGTGCTGCAGATTCATCTGCAATAAGCATAATGTGTTTACATTTTGTCCAACAGTATTTTTTTTTTTTGATTGAGTTGGTGTAAAAATGGACTTGTGTGATTTAAGCAGCAGGAAGTGTTTAAACTTTTTGACAATTAAATAAAAATCAATGATGTAAGTGAGATTGTTAGTAAATATTGAAATGTTTTTTGTAAAGTTTAGGAGTCGAATGGGAAAAAAATTCAAGATCTAGTAAAACAAACTTGAGTTATGTGAGTTACTCTTACTCCATTTTTGAGATTTTCTTTTCTGTGGTCCCATTATAGGTGTGAAGGCTGCTTATTGAAGAACTTCTTTGGGTCCTTTAGAAAAGTGCTAGTGGCACTTGAGAGGATTTTACACTGATAGTGTTTGCAGTGTCTGCTGCACAGACTACACTTTACTGTTCATGACTGTGTTAGTTGTCTTGGTCTAGTCGTCTCTGTAAGGTAGTCCTCAGTCATGTCCTAGTTTGGTAGTCTCAGTCTGGATTGCTCAACTTGTTTGGCTTGGTTATTTAGCTTTAAAAAAAACTGTGCCTTGTAAATTATTATCCAAGTACACTTTGCTTGGTAGTCCTGGTTGAGGAAGGTATTTGTGGGTGGCTGTGGTGGTGGTTGTTGCCTCTGGGCCAATTAGATTCAGCCTGATTAATTCTCAGCTTTTCAGTTTGCTGGGAAGACATGACCTGGTAGTCCTGTCTTGGTCAGAAAGTGTCAGTCTAGTTTCCTCCGTCAAGTAATCTGACTGTTGTCTCGGTCAGGTAACCATGGCCTGATGTTCTATTTGTTGTTGGTTTGTAGTCTTAGCCTGGAAGTCATGGTGGTGTTGGTATGGTGGTTTTGGTCAGGTGTTCTCTGGGCTGGGTCTGGGCTTTGTAGTCTTTGTCAAGCAGTCTAAAATTGATTGCTTTGGTCAGGTGATCTCGCCCTGATCACCTAGTATTTCTTGGTCTTGTGTCTTTGGTCTCGTAGCCTAATCACTCTGGACCAAGCACATCAGCCAGGTTTTCTTATCCTGATAAGGTATAGTCCTGTCTCTGCTTGATGGTCTCATGTTCTAGTTGTCTCAGCCAGGTAATCTCCACCAGGTTGTTTTGTCCTGCTTCTGTAGTCCTATCAGTTTCAGATTCACCATTTATATAGGCAAGTTAGTTCATATAGCTAACAGCAACAAGGCAATAAAAAAATAAAAAGGCTTCACACAAGACATCAAGAGTATTATAACTAAGGGCAGAAGAAACGTTAAAAGAGGACTTTTAAAAACCAATAAAGCAAAACATTAAAAAAATCAAAGAAAATAATAAAACCAGCAACATAATTTTTGAACTATGTGCAGATGTTTTTAATCTGAGACATGTTTTGTTCTCTGAAAGAACCCTTATAACTCCCCATGGTATGAGGCAGCCCCTTTTTATGCATCATTTGTGCGACCAACGATCCAGAACTAAAAAAAATATTTAATTTATCGCAATAACTGAAATAATGAAATTCTGATGTTTTTATTTCAGTGGACTTTTAAATCAAATGGCTAATCATCGCAGTCCTTAAAAAACCTAAAGATCCTTATGTTAATAAAAGTGACTATTGGTGATTGATCGTTCGAATATTGATGTGAAACTCAACAATCGTCTGACACTGTCAAACAGGTGTGTTTAAGTTATGTACATGTTTATATTCCTATCCACTTATACTACTCAACACATAATAAGCTTACTAATGGTGAAACCTCACGGCATGGGTTGTTCTTAAGCTCTGCAAATACTTTTACAAGTACATTTAGCTATTCATACTATGTCAACATGAAGCCAAGATTTCAGATAAAAAGCTAAATGCGTTGTCCTGTAAAACTGAAATCTGTATATTTCATTAAATGTTTGTTCTGGCTGTATTTTAGATAAAAAAACAAACATTTCTCTTGTGTTGTTTTGGCTGTTATGTATTTTTTATAATGTTCTCATTTCCCTCTGAACAAGATGTCACTGAAAAAATAGAGATTTTAACATTATGAAGCTATGATTATAATTATTATTAGTTGTACACACGTTGAAAACCAATAAGAGGAAGAAAGAAAGCGCCTGTAATTGTACCTGGTCTTATCTTCCTCCCGCTCTCCCACCTGTCACACTGCAGCTCGTCAGCATGTCTGCGTGTGTTCCTCCCCCTCCGCCTCCTCAGCCCCCTAACCCTCCACCATTTTCTTCTCCCGCCAATCAAATCCGCCTCCACACCTTTATGTTCTACTGCTTTCCTTTTTTTCCTCTGTCCTTTTTCATCCTTCGCTTCAAACCCCGAGCAGGCATCCGCCCCTCCCCCACTCCTCCTTTGCCGCTGCCCCCTCTAGCTACCTCAGTAGGTTTCTATTCTCCCTTTGCATAAGATCTTTTTCATTCTTTCATTGTCTTTTTACTTTTCCTCTTTGACTTCCTTCAGATTATTGGGGTATTCTTACAGGCCTTTACCCCCCCCCCCTTTAAGTCTCATTAACACGTAGCACAACAAAACACACATAGAAACACTCACATATAAAGTAACACAAACACTTTCCAGCCGAATGATTGTGTATCAGTGGTTATTATAGTATACAAGGTGTGCACTGAGTTAAGGAATTTCTTGCAATAACATTTATAAGGTTCAGTCATGAGTTGGTGTTAAAATTCATTTAAAGACCTTGCATGTTTCTGTGGAGTGTGTGTGTTCATGTGAATCCTAGCAAGGTGCATATTAACATGGCTGCCTGCCGTAATCTGTGACAGATTACAGATTATCTTGTTAAAACTGTCACAGGCATCGACTCTTTTTAATCACCTCTGGTCCTTAAGGAGCTATTGATCTGATCCCTGTCTGTGTGTTTTCGCCTGTGTGAACGTGTGGTAATTCATATCTTAAAAACCAAGTAAGAATATACAAATTTCTGACTAAATGACTCAGATGGAGATTGTGGTGTAACATATATTGATATCGGTATCCATCTTGATTTGTTTTCTTTAAAACCCTTTTCCGTAAACTGAATAATGTATTCAATTTTATACCACATAAGAGATTTTACTTTGTTAGACCTCTTAGGATCAGTAATACAAAAACACCAGAAAATACTGTGAGGGATATATATTTATATTTGGATAACTATATAATACATATGAAGTTAATCCTGGAGAAGGATACATTTTCTAGTTGAAGACTCCAAACCAGAAATATTTCACGCTACACAGAAAGTCTGTTTAAAATCCTATAGTAAGTAATATAATTCATGCTTAAGTGTTGTAAAAATAGACCTTTTCTATTGCAGGGATAAGCACAAGACATAAAATTACATATTTGCACAGTCACAGACTCAGTAAAGATGATATAAAACAAAGAACAGAGAATCTGCAACCACAGAAATATGATGATAATGTGGCGTTTCTGATACATTACAGGCAGCTAGTCTTTAATTAATTACCCTGTGTAGTTTGTACGTGTGTGTCAGGTGTACTGCTGAGATAATGTCACTATTTTCCACATCTACCGTCCAGTAGAGGGGGCTGTAGTTGTGATGGAGGCAGCTAATTATTGCCGGTTATTCTTTATCTTTTCACTGTGTCAGCAGGTGCAGCATCCCCTGTTAGAGGGTCACGTGATATCAGGAACAAACAGAAGAGAGTCAATACTAGACCAACAGCAGCCTCACTGTAACTTTCATTCAGACACTTACAGATGGGCTGGCTTCATGCTCTCCATTTTTTATTCTTCAAAACACTCAGCCTTTGAGAATCAAACCAATAAAATAATAGACCAAAGTACCATAATCACCTCATGCTGGTTTTGATGCTGTTTTCCTGTATGACACTTTAAATTTAAAAGGCCCACTTTGTGAAAAGAGCTGAAAATTAGCAAAAACTATAAACTCGGTGCAGCAAGTAAGTTTTATGCTCTGTATAGGGAGTAGTCAATGTCACAGTCAATTAATATGAATGCTACTAATAAATACAACATTTTACAGCTGAATCAGAAATGATCTCGCTGCAACATGCATGAATGATAATTCCTGTAACATTAACTTTATTTTTAAAGTTTAAAAAAATACATTAAAGAATAGACCAGTCTCAGCTGTTAGATAACACTGTTTTCACCGAAAGTTGAGTTTACCACAGGGCCTTTAAACACTCATCCTGACCCCTTGTCTCAAGTCTAGAACTGCTTTCTTTTTCCATTCATTTTTTTCCTGTTATAGTGAAAATGACCTCACTTTTAACACTAGCATTACTGTGAGATTAGGCTGCTGTGTGTGTTTGACCATTGATGGAGCAAGTAGGTGGAGACTATAGGGGGGGGGGGTTTGTTGATACTGTGGAGGATTTACAGCCTTTCCTCTTTACTCTGTCAACAAAGGTGTGTCATGCATACTGCTGTCTGCTGGTGTTGGGACTACAGCTCCTGCTTTTTTTACAATGTAAAATGAAAAGAATGTTTTCATCTACAGATATTTGATGGACAAGGTAGATGAATATGCAAATCGGCCAGACTATATTACATGCATGCATGAGAACACCTACACCTTTCTTAAAGGGGATGGCTCAGCTGTTAAAAACACAAATAGATCCAAGGGTTGCTTGGATGTCAGAAAAGGTCTGGCAGCTCTTATACAGATTACTGTGGATTTCATTCTTTGGCTACCTGACCAATGGAAACTTCGCTTCCAAAGTTTAAGTTCATCTTTAGCTTACCCTCTCCCTTTTCTTCTTGTCTCCACAGTAATACCTCATTGGCTGGTGTGACCCAGGATTCTGCAGGCCCACCATCTCCCAGGGTGGGCCCCGATAAACTGGACCTCTTGGGGAGAATAAGGCTCCCATGGCTACCCCCAGCTAAAGAGCTAAGCCCCCTCCTCCACCTCCCCTATATCACTGTTCATTGCTTAGATGTGAACAGTGATTCCCTCCAAACGATTTGCTTTAGAGTACTATGGCAATGCATGATATGAGTCGTGCCAAGGGTTTCCCCTGTAAAGAGTGTGATATGGTTTGTCCGAGTACTCCAAGTCTTCTAGAGCATATGAAAGCACATTATCAGCAAGAAGAGACTGGACGTTTTGAGTGTGAACAGTGTGGCAGAATTTACAAGCACGCAGCTAGCCTAGCAAATCATAAAAAGTCACATGAAGTAGGATCCTTCCAGTGTCCGGTTTGTACTCGTACCCTCCCTAATGCTGTGGCTTTGAAGAATCACCTTCGTATCCATACATTGTCCCCTAGTAGTACGCACGCAGAAGAAGAGAGTGAAGAGGTACCCGAAGAAGCAGGCCACGACGAGAGGGACTACAGCCTCGCCCAAGAACTCTCGGACGGGTTTGGGCGTTCTCATTTGAACAATAGTGGTATGGGACATAGTGTCCTACAAAGCCACGAGACAGACGACCACGGAAAAAAAGGCTCCCCTGAATCCGACGACGCTTGGGACAGACCATTCAAGTGTGATCAGTGTGACAGAACCTACCGGCACCACGGTAGCCTGGTGAACCACAAGAAGTGTCACCAGCAAGGAACTTTTAAGTGCTCTGTGTGTTTTAAACAATATAGCAACCTGGCTGCCCTAAATAGCCACGAGAGAACTCACTCCAAGTTCAAGACCCCTGGAGCATCAATGGTGAGCAGCAGCGGTAGCAGCAGCCTCCACGACTCGGAGCGCAGCAGTGGTGCCCAGTCATCCCAGAGTGATGACACGGCATCCTGTTTCTGCCACTTGTGCCAGATAGCGTTGCCGAATAAGGCTGACTTTCAGGAGCACATTCTGTTACACAACTCAGCCACACCCTCTTTAGGACTGCCACGCAGTTTCCCTGGCATCATGCCTCACAATCTGAGTGCGGTTCGATCCCCAGCATACACTCCTGCCCTAGGGGACCCTCTGCCCCTTCCACCCCTGCCAGGTGAGAAAAGAGGTCCCTATGATCCCATAATGGGTCCTCCAGTCAACAACCCCATCTACACATGTGCATATTGTGGCGCTGGACATCCAGATTTGGAAACCTTAAAAGTCCACTATCTGACTCATGATCCCCACCCTGCCTCCCATGGCCAAGACAGCTCAATCCTCAACTCAGACACGCTAAGCTCTGGATCACAGGGTTCTGTGTCCTCGCCTTCAGGAGGCCGTGTGCCCCAGGCCAATTCTCCAGATGATGGAGAGCGGCGTTTTAAGTGCGGAGAATGTGGCAAAAGCTACCGTCATGCAGGAAGCCTGGTCAACCACAAACGCTGCCATCAGACAGGCCACTACCAGTGCACCATTTGTTGTAAGCAGTACCCTCATCTGGCAGCCCTACACAGCCACCTGAGGAGCCACAAGGGGCGTGGCTCCAACCAGTTAAGTAATGACAGCAACGACTGGCTGTCACCAGAGCCTCTAACCCTGGACTCCCAGCAGAGCTACGTTCAGGAAGGCAGTGGTGCCACTACTCCAATATCACTGCCAGGAAATCTTGGTGACGCTGCCCACTTTGTACCAGATGCTGGACACAGCAGTGGGCTTGACTCGCTTGAGTTCCATGATCGCTTTGATGGCAGCTCACTCTCCCAAAGCAACTCTGCACACCGCCAGGCGGACAGACATGTATGTGCAGATTGCGGTGAGATGTATGCAGATGTATCTGGTATCAAGTCACACATGTGTCCCCGCCGTGGCCAGCAGCAACCACAACAGCAGGGCAACATGTCTAACGGTTTTATGGGGAGCATGAATTACCACAGCTCCAGTGGGACTTCGCTCCCTGCCGGTAGCTCTAGCAACCTAAAAGAAGGAAGCAGTCAAAGGCAGTACTCCCAGAGTGGAGGCAAGAGAATGGGGAACAATGACAAAGATGATGATGATGATGGTGAAGTGTATCAGTGCTCAGTGTGTGGTAACCACTATGCCAGCCTCAGAGCCCTAAGAAGCCACCTGCGTAGCCATGCCAACAACCCTACAGCTCCAGGACCTTCCAACCTTGATCAAGAATGGAGGATGATTTGCTCAACATGTGGGCAGAGCTTCTCTAGAAAGCAGGACCTTCTGAATCACCAGCTAGTCCATGGCCCTCAAAGGCCAGACGGACAGCAGCCTGTTATTGGAGGCGGTTCAGCTAATGGTAATGACAAAATGGATGGACGCAACCACATTTGTGTTGACTGTGGCATGTTTTTTGCTGACCGCCACCACCTGATTACCCACCTGTGTCCTGGTAAGAATCGGGGCAGCTCCCTGAGCAAGCAGGGCCTAAATGGAGCAAAAGGGATGTCTGGTGGAGAAGGCGTTGGTGGTGGGGTAGCCGGAGGAAGTCGTGATGTTGGTGGGGATGGACGTAGACCTATGGTTGACCAAAGTGACAAGCCACACAAGTGTGATCAATGTGGACGAGGATACAGACATCCCTGCTCACTCCTTAATCACAAGAAGTCCCATAAAACTGGTGTCTTCCGTTGTTTGGTGTGCCAGAAACGCTACTACAACCTTTTGGCTCTTAAGAACCACCAAAGGACCCACTTTGATCTGAAAAGGTAGGTTCCATTTTCTGAATTTAGAGGTGTGCATGTTTCTTAATCAATGGAGAGCTAATTTATTTTGTTTTAATCAAAATCCACTTAAAATCTATTATTGTTTGCAGAATGCTTGCAAGGGCTGTGATAAAAATTGCACTGAATGAATCTTATGCCAAACAGGTCAAACTGAATAATGACTTTCAGCCCTGTACCAAATATCCCTTTTTTACCAAAGGACCATGTTCAATACTTCTGCTATGCTTACATTGGTTCAAGTTTGTTACCAGAGTCTTAGTGTTTTCTTTATTTCTGCCCGTTCCCTCTGCAGGCACAAGTGCGAAGAATGCGGCAAGGCTTTCAAGATCCAAAAGCAGCTGATCAACCACCTCCGTCTCCATGAGGAGCACCGAGCCAAAGGTCTTGTAAGGACTGGACCCAATGGTTCCCGCTTCCAGCAGGCTGGCCCATCACAATTGCAGACTATGAGAGGAGAGTCATCAAAGAGCCAGGTGATGAGTGTGAAATACAGCCATCAAGGGTTCAAAAAGCCCTACTCTTCAGCTGGAACTTCCAGGCCCCAAAAGTTTGACCCATCTGAAACTGGACGTCGGCCTTTTTCCTGTGAAGAATGTGGAAAAACGTATCGCCATGCAGGAAGCCTGGCTAATCACAAGAACCTTCATAAAATTGGAGAGTATCACTGCAATGTTTGCAACTCAACATACCCAAACAGGCTAGCAATGAAAAACCACCTACGACTCCACTTTGCCCAGAAGAAGCACAACTGCCAAGAGTGTGGCAAGGGCTTTCGTACTCAGAGACAGCTAGCTACCCACACTACAGCTGGCCTGTGCAAGGGTCCGCAGGGCCCGGGGGTTCAGATGGACTTTGAGTGTGATGGCTGCTGTGAAGGCTTTACCACAGCTGATGAGCTTGCAGCCCATGACTGCCCTGCCCAGCACCTGCCATCATCCTCCTCCACCAACAGCTCCACCAACATCAGCATGGAGAGAAGCTCTGTGGACCTGGACTCCGATGAGAGACCCTACGCATGTGACTTGTGCAGCTGTGCCTATAAGCATGCAAGCTCCTTACTAAATCACAAGCACACCCACAAGACAGGCAACTTCCGGTGCAACTTTTGTGACAAGCCCTACACCAACTACATGGCGCTGCGCAACCACATGCGTATCCACACTCAGCGGAAGAAGCACATCTGCCACACGTGTGGGAAAGCCTTCCGTCTGGCCAGGTTCCTCCGTAACCACCAGAAGGTCCATGAGGAAGGTGCCACCCCCTTCGGCTGCCCAACCTGTGGCAAGAGTTTCCAGGGAAGATCTGGTCTGGCCAGGCATCGCTGCGGGGACAACCAGGTAGGCATGGAAGTCAGAAGGAAGGCCACTGCACCCGCGGGAGAGGGCGAGGAGTGTCGGTACACGTGAGTTCTCGTCAGTTGTTTGTGATTCTTCGAAGTTGGAAAAAAAGTAGTGAAGATAAATTTAGGTCTCTACATGTCTATTACAGGTATATGATCTCCAATCCGGCTTCCTTGGGACCATACGCGTGCCGGAATTCGGATTTTTCTGAAGTTTGGACAAATTGAATTAGTGGAGAGACCAGATAAGTCAACCCTGTTTGCTTTCAGTTAGCATATAACACACTTCAGTTTTTTTTTAGCCTACCAACAATCAACTTTTCTTTTCAGATGTTTTGTTTTCATGCTTTGTTTTCTAAGCAAACTTTGACACCGATAAAAGTAGTCTGTAGCATATTGGCAAAGTATTGATGTTGTGTGATCCTGTTATGATTTTAAATTGTAGTCTTTGATTTGTGTGTGTTCTCTTTAGGTGCTAGATACTGGCTAGTTATTAGACTAGAAAATGCAGTTATGTGATGGGCCTCTTGCATTGTGATGTCTTGGCAACCTGAAATCACAGGGAAGAATAGGAAGTATTTGGAGCTAGCTGCACTGCACATGTCAAGAGGTTAATACTACTTAATGGTCAACCCCACAGCAACTGCAAGCAATTACAGTTTGGCTTGGTAGAGGTTATTATGGCATTTCTGATTGATTTTTCATCATTTCACTCAGATTTCACAAAATTAATCTGAAAGAAAGCTGTGAATGAAGGTTTTTGAAATTGTTTTCTGATGTGAAAGAAGCTGTTAGAAGCTTGTGTTCATTTGTGCAGTGCAGGGAGCAGCAGATACCTCCCATTTCCCTTCATGAATCCCAGTTGTTTGTCCATAGTTTCTCCCATGTCCCTCCCTTTCCCACTCAGCAGTCCCCCCTATGACATGTCTAGAAATCATAACTTTAAATGGTACACCACTTTGTAATAGTCTTTAAAGCTTTAAGCCGGATTTCAGATCATATACCTGTATGTGCAACATCTTAGATGATGAGAATTTAAAATATTCCTTAACTATAAAGAACAAGTGGTCACCAGTAACTGAAATTGACTTGGTAAAGATAGTTAAAAAAAAATGTGTAAAATACACTCTTCAGTTGCTAATCTCCAATTTTCTTTCCTTCCATCCCTTCCCCGTTGTTTCCTCCCTATTGTTTTTCCTTCTTTGTCTCTGCACAGATGTGATCAATGTGGCCGCTCCTACCGCCATGCCAGCTCCCTCCTTAACCACAAAAACACCCACACTGTCGGCATCTACCACTGCGCCGTGTGCCTGAAGACCTACTCTAACCTGCTTGCCCTGAAGAACCACCGCCGTATCCACTCAGAGACACGGCGCCACCGTTGCCACGACTGTGGCAAGGCTTTCCGTGTTTCGTCCCAGCTCTACAACCACCGACGTGTCCACCAGAAGCAGCGGGAGCTGACCTGCCGGTCCTGCCAAAGAGCCTTTCCTACGCATGCCAGCTTCAGACTCCACATGGAGATTACCCATGGTCAGGCACCGCAGCCCCGCCAGCCCAGACCCCAGCAGCCCCGACCAGGGGGCTCCCAGGAGCTGGGCTGGGGGTCAGGCTTGGACCTCACCTTAATGCAAGAGCAAGGACTCAACCCAAGTAGCATGACCAAAGCCCGCAGCAGAGGGGGCAACAGTGAGGTCATCAAGTCCCATGTCTGCGACCAGTGTGGACGCTCGTACCGCCACGCCAGCTCCCTGCTCAATCACAAGAACAGTCACAAGACTGGGACCTACTTTTGCAACTCCTGCCAGAAGGAGTTCCCCAACCTGATGTCCCTCAAGAACCACCGACGGATCCACACTGAGCCCAAACGTTACCAGTGCCCCGACTGCGGCAAGTCGTTCCGGGTGTCCACACAACTCATCTGCCATCGACGCATCCACACCAAGGAGAAACCATTCTCCTGCCAGCAGTGCGACAAACACTTCTCTTCCAAGTCCAACCTGAGGCACCACATGAAGGTGCACTGGAGCTCCACGGCGCCCCCTCCCATGGCCATGGGTGCGCCCAACTTCCTGGGTATGCCTGGCGGCCCCTTCATTTGAGCTAAGGGATGAGGGAGGGGGGTGTGGTTGAGACATGGGATGGGGGAGGGGGGGAAGTCAAATGCCAAGGTTTCCGGAATTGCCAAAACGTAGCTTTTCCTTCTGCTCACCCTTCTCTTCCTCATTTTCATGTGTGTCTGTAGTGTGTGTGAAGAACAGGGCTCTTAGACTCATAAACACAGAGCAGGAGGGAGAGCACAAAATGGATGCTACACACACACACACACACACACGCACACACACACACAGAAAATGGAGAATGTGCGTATACACACACACCTCCAGAGGCTTCATTGCAGACATTCTCACAAGGCTGTGGTTGTAGACCTGTCTGACTGTCGTACACAGACTGACTGACAGGCAGACAGACAGACATGGACTGAACACAAACATGTTGCAGTTTGTTATAAACTACATGAACTTCACTACACCTGCCTTACTCACTGCTGCATGTCGCCTGTAAAGCTCTGTGAACCTGCGGACCTTTGATGCCTCACACAGCTGCAGAGACTGAGCTGATAACAGACTGTTTGTTGGAGCTCGTACACACTTAAGAGTCCAGCTGTAGAGACTTAAGCTTGACAGAGTGTCAGCAGAGCTGCTGTGAGGGTCCAGATAAAGGCGTGAGGAAGTCGAATGCTTGTTTTCCAGTAATGAGCCATCTTGTTCATTTCAATCCTGGGAGCTGATTGGTCCTGTGCTGCAGTTGGTTTCCTGTTTCTCGCCTCCATCCTCGTTCAAGGGGAGTTTGTCTTGATGGAATCTTCTCTCGAGGCCTTTGTCACAATGTTTTTAAAATCATATTATGACCGAGTAGGTCTAAAGAAGGTTCAAACTGTTTTTATTTATGTGTGACCAACATGTAGTGGATGTTCTGGTAAAGAGAGAGGTGTGGTTTATTTTTCCTTTTTGTACCTTTTTGGTGTGGCAGGAGACGGCAAGTACCTCTGGGAGCTGTTAGGGCTGTAGGCAGGATGCTAAAGTCCAGTTTAAGTGTGTTTTGCAATGTTTATATTCTGGTAGCTTCATAAACAGAAAACTTCTGGTCGCCTTGTTCGCACACAGGTTCAGCAGCGGTAGTGAAAACGTACGAGTTAGTTAAAGGATAAAACTCGAATGAACATCCTTTGCTTACAGTTCAATGCCAACTGTCAAATCCCTGAGTAACATGCTTTGACGAATCAACGTCTGTCGTAAAGGGTCTTGAGTGTTCAATCTCAACTCGAGCCCCGTACCCATTTGCTTTAGTCAGGGCCTCAACACATGGTCTTTTAAATTGCTATTGATTTGCTGTTTCACATTTGAAAACCAATTTTTAAGACTGACTTTCTTAGACAGTCATTTGTAATGATGTCCTTGAAGTACTTTGGATCTAGCCAAGAAACTGAAAACACAACTGAGTCGATTCATTCCCGTAAAGGAGACGAGTTGAAAGCTCTAGTAAAAGAAAAATTGTGATGCAGAGATTTTGAAAGTGCTGCTACAGAAATCACAAAAAACATGTTAGGTTTTAAGACACATCCTGAGGAAGTGGTCACACCAAAATCAAAGGGAAACAAGGGAACTTGACGCCGCAATAATCCCAGAATAAAGTTTGAAAAATTGTGGGGGTAGTGATTGGTACATCTGCAAAACTTAAAAGTCTCAACCCCTTTTTTTCGTGCTTCACGAGGGGTACGCTTCCCATCAACCATTTCCATCACTTCTGCTGTCCGTTAGAATCTGTGTGTTAGAACAAGGCGAGAATCCTAGTTTTGCTGTGTAGATTTCCTGTCTCAGCATCCATCTCTGTCTCAAACACGCTGCTGAAAGCGGCTGCGGGGCCTAAAAAAGGAGAAAGAAACCACGATGACCAGTAAACACAGGAGGAGTAAAGGGAGGGAGAGTTGTATATTGATGGGTTCTGTTCTGTTTGATCCTGTATCGTATTGTATTCTGACTGTATTCTCTACAGAACCTCTTTTATAAGGAGAAAAGATGACACATCATTGTAGTAATGCATTTATTTATATTATTACTATTAACACTTGTAATGGACGGCGCTAGTCTTTAGGATGTGTGAGTTTAGAGCTGTGTTGATGTAACCTCCCCCTTTTGCCCTCAATGCCCCTCTTCCGTGGAGACGACCATTTGAGACTCTGTGAACATTTAGGAACTGTACACGATGGAACGTGTTTTTCTTGCCTTTAACCAAGTGATGTTGTGACGGTTTTACCCAGTCGAGCCTTCCCATCATCCCTCTCTTCCATATTTATCTCCACTGAGTTTGACCCCACCTTTGGCCCCCTCGTCTTCGCCCCCCTCCCCCCCCTTCCTGTTTCACAAAATCTCTCGTTGAAAAGGGACGACTCAGTGATCCTCCTCTTTACTCGGAGTGCATTAAGTCCTCATCATTTGAACCTTTTTTATGTTACACTTTTATGGTAACCTCTTGTATTTATTGGTGTTATTTTTTTTCCTTATATTTAATTGCGTTTTTATGACTATTTGGAAGCCTCTGTGTGTGTTTAAAACCACAGTTTGTCAGCGTTTTCAGGAGCACTGGTGCTAGTTGAAAAAAAAAAGAAAAAAAAAGAAGAGATAAAAAGTCAAAGCCGTGCAGTGACCGTCAAGTGCTGTAGGAGTCGATGTGATCTTGATCTAGAACACAGAAGTAATAACTGTACATTCTCTACCTTTACTTTTGCATTTTCCTCCTCCACGATGTTTGACTTTGGTTTCTGAGTGCACACTTTCCCGCCTGCATTTCAAGTAGATGTTAGAGAGAAGAAGATGAAGAAAAGATTGGTTTGGAACAAATATAACCCCCTTTTTTGTTTTGTTTTTAAGTTCTAACATTTTGTTTCCATGCATATATATGTAATGCTTACTATACACTTTTATAAACTATGTTTTGATAATTCATTTCTTAACAGAAAAAACTTGTCCATATACTATAACCCTTACTGCTGAGTACTGAAAATAAATAGCTGAAAACAAAACACAGTGGAGGTCAGTGTTTTTAATCCATGCTCCCAACACGTTGTTCTTCTTTACACTCACAGGTCACAGGTTAAGGACCAATGATGGAATTGATTGATCGATTGGTTTCCTTTTTTAAAGTTCTTATGTTAGTACAAGAATTCAATGTCATTGTTTGCTTTGTTTTAATTAAAGTCGGGCATTTTCAGCATTTTATCTTTCAGGAGTTTGTCACATGACCAGGAAGTCATTATTAATTAAGAGACAAACTTATCGATTTAGCAAACTGTTTAAAAAGTCAGAACAACGAGCTCCACCTTTACCTGCTGCAACATTTAAGAGATGAACACGTTAATGCACTAATCAAAGTCATATTTATTTATTTATGTTTATCAGAGGAGTACTTACACTTATTATCATGCTTTCATATTTATATATTTATGTTGTTGTGGGCTTAATTATTGAATCAGTGATCTTAAGAAGGACTTGATTTGATTGAAAATGCCAAATAATTTTCATCTGTTTTGTAAATAATTAAAAACATCACCAAATAATTTTATATTTACATGATCTAAATTACATCAGTTATTTCACGTCAGAAAAATTATATTAAAAATGTCACACATTAATAAAAAAATAAAGAAAACTAATTTCAATATTGGATTTAAAATTATTAAAACATTTTCAGGTTTTATTTAATTTTAAACGCTACATTAAAATTAACTATTAATTCAAGTTTATCAATGCTACATTTTTCATACTTGTAAAGTAAACTTGATATAATGTTTATAATCTATATTATCAGATTACTGTTGTCACATCTATATCGTCACCTTTATTTGACCTCAGCATGGAACAAACACACCTAATGATTGATGCTCGATGTGTTCATTAGTTTAGTGTTGCAGCAGGTCGAGGTGAGTCTTAAGTGTTCTATTTGTTTCTCAACAAAGCTGGATCTCAATCGTTGATCGTACACTCCTTTATTTTCATTTGAACAAAGTCTGAATCTGTTAAGAAACTGAAGCAGTTTGATATATTCTAAAGTGAGAAAGTAGCAAAGGATGAAAAAGAATCAAGTACATGACAAGTAGCTGAAAAGGTATCACTAAGGTAGTTTAAGGTAGTGTACTTTATGACTTTATAACTTAAACATTATTGTGTTTAACTTGAAAACACAAGAATGTCAGGCTTACAAAAAGTTCCTCTGACCCAAAATCCCAGTCCTGTGTTCTCAATGAAGGTTTGTGTTTGAGAAGAGGTCAAGGTGTGAGTGAGGATTCATCTACTCAGGTTTTATAAATGATGTTTCTGTTAGCACACAAACAGATTTCTGTGATGATGATTTTTATTTATTAATATAACCATGATGTTTTTTTTAATGTATTTTTTTCTTTGTAAAAAAAATGTAATGTCTTGTTTTCCTATGAGTCTGTTTGTCTTGAAACATGAAGTTGCAGACCTCAGCGATTCTCCATAAACAAAGTGGACTTGTCCTGACGGACTCAGGAGGTTTGCAGGTGGACGCTGCAGTCCTAGTTAAAGGGGGGTCTTTATTTTTAGACCCTGCTGTCAATCATGTGTCACATCAGTTCTGAATCAGTTCCCTGCTTGTGTAACAGTTCACCTCAGTGCACTTCATTCAATCCGAACCCCTAAACTCTGGTGTTTGTCTCCCTCAGATCTGAGTCCGGTGGGTTCAACCGACAGCTCCAGGAGCTTCGTCTGCAATCAGTGTGGACGCTCGTACCGCCACGCCAGCTCCCTGCTCAACCACAAGAACAGCCACAAGACGGGGACCTACTTCTGCCACGCCTGCCAGAAGGAGTTCCCCAACCTGATGTCACTCAAGAACCACCGACGGATCCACACAGAGCCCAAACGCTACCAGTGCCCCGACTGCGGCAAGTCGTTCCGAGTGTCCACGGCTCTCATCTGCCACCGCCGCATCCACACCAAGGAGAAGCCGTTCACCTGCCAGCAGTGCGACAAAAGTTTCTCGTCTCGGTCCAACCTGAGGCACCACATGAAGGTGCACTGGAGGGGTCCGCCGTTGTCCAGAGGGAGGCCCTCCGCTTTCCTCACCGTCCCCTCCAGATCTTTCATATAAACGTCCGACCTTGCTGTTTTTTTCTGCCTTTTGTCCAGCTTCTGGAACACAGCGGAGAGGGTTTGGTCTGTTGAGGGGTTTGAATCTTGGAACCAATTGAAGGTCTGCCAGTAAACCAGAACACCTTTTATCCAATTTAAATCCAGCAGATGTACATGACTGAACTACTTCACCTGAAAATCACAGATCTCAATCCACTAGCTTTGAATGTCCCTCTTTCTCCCAGAAGGTCGTAGAGTTTCAGACCGAGACGAGTTCATTTACGACTTCATGAAACACGAGGATCATGTTGGTCAAATCTCGACCCAACATGGAAACGCCATGGCAACGCTCAACCCTACAAGACAAGATTTCCAACTACACACCTTCAGAACAATTATAGACAATGGTTTACAAAGTCAAATATTTTAATAGTACAAAATTATTTTAGAGTCAAAAAGATGTTTTTAGTGTTGGTTAATTTTTCCTTCAAAGTTTCTGAAAAGATTTAAACCCTCACATCGTTTCTTTGTCTCTAAAATACGACGATGAAACCGTCTCCAGCAGCGATCCTCTCTCCGTTGACCTGAAACATGGAAACTAAAGCTCTCCTTCAATGGATTGTAAATACCTTGTTTGATCGCTTTCATTTTTTTCTATATTGACACTTATCAGGTCACTTCCTGAACATTTTGATACAGCAACAGGAAATGGACCTCATTGTTAGTAAAAATGAACTAGAATCAGAATCAGAACAGTGAGACAACATCCTGACCTTCACAGAAGTCACTTGACTCCACCTCTTCCTGCTAAAGCTACAGGTAGCAGCAGGAAAGGTTAATATTCCATATGCAGATTTGTTTTGACAGGAATCCATTTCAACTATAGGTTTAAATACAAAGATGAATATATCAAATGTAAGGCTAATTTGGCAAGAATCTGTGATTATTTCTGGTGGTTGTATCAGGTTGGTGTCACTCCTGAAAGAGGTCTTTTTCTTTACGTTTTTTTTTTTTAAATCCCGTTTAATTTGGCTTTTTCATCTTTTATATTAAGCAGAAGACTTAAATATAAAAAGCTGTGATTACATGAGATGGAGAAAAAGAGCAAGAGGAGTAAACGATGCGTTCAGGAGCTAACCTATCAGATGGATTTCAGAGGAACTGTCTGATTGGTGACATAGCTGTTTCTCTCTGATGAACTAAAGAACAAAAAGTCATCACAGTGTTTCTTTTTCTGACGTTAAAATCTTTCAAAACAACTGGAAGAGATCCAGCAGTGAAACCTGGAGGACTTATACGTGGACATACAGAAGGATATTTCACATTTTAGCGCTTCGGAGGACAAAAACTGCATTGTCCTCGTCTTTTGAGATGAGATGGTTTTCCATGATGCTCTAATGTCAGGACAAAAACTGTTAACTTCAGCTGAACCTGAAGAAATCGAAACCTATGAACTCGTAAAGTTTGACATCCATCCTCTCTTTCTCTGAGGGGGTGTTGAGGTCAGAATCTGTGGACGTCTTTTTATAAACTCAAGGTCGAAATGGACGCACGCCATGGGGGACGTTTATGGACGATCGCGGTCGCGGTTCTTCACGGAGAGTTTTAGTTTCACGTTTGAACCGGCAGCTGTCGGACAGTGAGACCTCATAACTGGATCAACACATTTCTGTCGCTCTTCAGTCCGAGTCAAGAGTGTTTTTCACTTCAGCACTAATGTCTCCTATGGAAGTCCATTAATGCCCCGAGGAGAAAAAAAATCTACCGTTTAATGTCTTTTATTGTTGGAATCTAACATTTGTAGAATATTTTCCCATCAATAGTTGGGATAATAATTGGCATTTATTCAATTTAAATCTAAAATATTAACTCTGATCAACTCGGGGCGCAGGTGGCCCAGTGGTTGGTGCACGTTTACCCTTTGATTGGGAGGACATCTGTGAGTTATAATCGTTAATTATAAGTAAAAACTGAGATGATAAATAAGAATATCTTAATTATTAGTTTCTCATAATTGAAGGAAGGATGTGCGACATTTTACAGCAGAAATCCAGATATCATCTGTAAATTTCTCTCTGAGTCATGACTGTCTGCAACGAGTGAGAAGCTCGAGTCCCACCAGCTGTGTTGTTGTCGGAGCCGTGTTAACATCATGTTTTCATGGAGAATCAAGTCGGTAGATTTTTTCTTCTCCTGGTGTTAATGGGCTTTTATAACCAGCGGTTAATCTTCTATACGTCATTTTAATGTCATTGCTTTTTTTTTTTTTATCTTTAGCACTTGATGGATTTCTTTAAATGAAAAAGCTGACGTCGGGAGCCGTGAAGCTTTGTCTCTGAAGAAACTCACCAAACTCAGACTTCTTCCCCTTGTTTGTTTCTGTGCATTTAGTTAGATTTGTTTCGGGGATGTTTGTACGTTCTTACTCTGTGCCTGATGACTTATATACATAGTTAGAGGGTCGTGGTACCGACTAAAGACAGTGTAGTATTGAAAAGTAATGATGTGATGATAACTGTTGATGTCTTCTGCTGTCACTTTGTCACAACCTGCAGGAGAACACGTTCGTAAAAGGTGATCAAACTAGATGTGTGTGGTCTCTATAGTTCAGGCCTGGTATATTATCTGACATGTTGTTGAAAAAGATACTGCAGAATCTGTTACGGCCATTTTGTAACCTTTCCTTAAACCGAAATATCTACAGCTCTGTGCGTTCATTAAAGACGCCACACCCCCACCCCGACCCCACCGCCCAATTATCATGTAGCCTCTCAGAATCATCAACAGTCGCCACACAAAGATGTGAGTCTGTTAATTATACGATTGTTTTGTTGAATTGTTTTTTCACAATATTTAGATTTGTCTACAAAGATAAATTATGACCTAATAACTCCGATTTACAACTTTATTAAAATGACCAGATAAGACACTTTAATTATAAACTCATAACTCTATAAATGGATCTTTTAATTATGAGAATTGTGCAATTTATACATGGCAATATTCACAAATTTGTGTTTTTCCTTAGTGAGCTGTCATTTTAAAAAATGTTTCACTGTGATGTTTTCTCTTGATTGTGTTCTTGGAATGAATTGGCGACCTCGTAGTTTCAAGAAAACATAATTAAACGAAAAAAAGAGATTCTGTAAGCATGACAACGTTTTCTAGTAATTGTTCCCCTGATTAGATGAGAACGGCCTCTCCTTGAGAGATCTATGAGTCAGTATTCTCAAACCTCCGATGAGAATGAGACAACCGTCATATTTCAGAACATTATCTAACTCACGGTGAGTATCGTGCAATTATGAGACATATTTTTCATGATCACAAGATTATTAAATAATGAGAAGATGAAGAAATCATAACGATAAGAAAAAAAAAGATATTATACTTACAGTCAAATGGTTTCCACAATAAAAGTTTTTAATAAGAGACATATTTTCTCAAACTCTGGAAATTCTTTTTCTTAATCAAGAGAAATTAAGTCAAGTTTCTCAAAGATTGACAACATCTGCTTGAATAATTTTCTTTTCTCGTACTTGTGACATCTGGATCTCAATATTAGAAAAAAACATAAAACAAGATTCATATTTTTTATGGTTGAGATTGTTTCCTTATTATAATGAACATCTTTTTTGTGATTGTGAGAAATGTCCAGGTCTTCATGAGAAACCGTGATCATAATTGATAAAGGATGTTTTTGTAAAAGTGTTGTCTTTTAATCCAAATAACTATGAGATGATAAAAGTTATCTTGATTACAAGAAAAGACATGACTATCTTAAACAAAATTCAAGACGAGATATTATGAGAGTATATTTGTGAATTGTCTCCCCATAACAGTTTTTTAAAGGTCACATATTACGCAAAATACACTTTACTTTTCAAACACTGATATGAGTCCCTAAACTGTCTACGAACCCCTCCAATTATTAGAAAAGTCAATCCTCTCTGTCTTCTGCCTGCTCCACTTTTAAGAAAATGTGTGCTCAAACAGGCCATTTGGAGATTTTCCCTTCGTGACATCACAAAGGGCAGTAACCCCTCCCCCAGGTGGGTGACACTCCCACAGCTAGGTGTTTGTTCTGCCCTCTGAGTCTACCTTCTCACTGTAAACAATAGGACATGGAGCGAGAAAAGCCGAGCCACATCCTCTTCCAGAGAGGGGGTGGGTCAGACACAACTCATTTGCATTTAAAGGTACAGACACATAAACAGCCTGTTCTGAGCAGGGCTGAAATAGAGGGGTTTATAGACATGATCAAATACAGGATCAGGAGGATAATATGTGACCTTTAAGTCATAATTCTCATTATTTTTACGACATTATGAATTGTTTTCATTGTGAAAAAGATCTCATTCAGATCTGAGTCTTTGTCATTTTGAGATTTATTTTCTCAGTATTAGAAATTTCTGATTTGTAGTTTATGTGATGTTGAGATACAAAGTCACAAACCAGGAAATATCTCTGGTTACTGTTATTGATATTTCCTGAGAGCTTCGACTTTGATCCTTTTCGGACACGTAATGAAGTTAAAGTTAGTCGACATGATGGACCTGTTCACAGAATTACAAAAGCATTTTTCTTCTTGCCACAAGGTATATTTGATGAGAGTGAATATCAAATTTGCTTTAGGTCAATCTTTGTCCGTGTGCACGTCTATAATTTCTTATCCTTTCATGTGGGGATGCAAAATGGCGCATTACAGAGTGAGTTGTAAAAGTGTAGCAGTAGGCTCTTGGTGCTGTTTGCTTAGACGATGTTTTGTCACTGTACCTCTGTATTATAACCTCTGTATGAGTTTTATATACAAATAACTGTAGATGACATTTATTTCTATTGTTATAAAATGATGTTTATGAGAGCGTTGACTCACGAGCAGATGTCAGTGCGAATAATCACATAATCTAAACCTCCCATCATCAATTCCATAAATAAATTAAACACTCCACACGTGTTTTTATTCTCTTTCTTCTGTTACTGTTTCTAATGGAGCTTAAAATTCAATCAATCCCAGAAAAAAAAGAGTGTGAGCTCTGAATTTATTCGACTACATTTTTGCTTATTGAAAGAAGACTTAAACTGGATTTGAATAGTTAATTAAAATAAGCAAACAAATTATACAAAGTATTATATGTCAAAATATTAAAGATAAATAATTCAATCAATTTATTTCTAATTATACATAATGCACCTTTACTTACTTCCACCAGAAAATAAGATGGCACCCTTCTTCACCCTCAACACCTCTAAGAACTCCAAAGGGTTTCTCTTTCTTATTTTTCTGCAACTTTCACTAAAGTGTAATGAAATACCTACAAGCTGATGGGACAATGTTTCTGCTGTTTGTTTGCTTCTCTCACTTTGTTCTGCTTCTGTTTTTATAAATAAATTCTGTTTCTACACAGTCTGCTGCCTCTGCTGAATAACTTTACACATTATCCGAATCACGGTTTAATTGTGAAAAGAATAATTCATTTGTTTGACGTTTCCTCTTTTAGAAGACATGTGCACGATTAATTTTCTAAACTATTAAACGTTATGTATGATGTTAGTCAAAAGCAAAATTACTAGTCAATTATGAAAATGATTGATAGTCATGTTAATATATTAATTGATCGAATGATGTGTCTTAGCTGTAACTCAGCTGTCCGCCACTAGCCAGGGCTGTAGCTTGGTAAATTGCTACTGCTAATGCTCTAATACCAGGATGTAAACTAACACAGTGGACCAATGACATCTCATAGTGCAGAACGGTCTGGCAGTATTTTGATTTAGAAAATAATATTGTATCGCATGGCATCCTTGCTTGTGTTGTATTTACTTTGGACATAAGCTTCTGCTAAATGAATTGCAGAATTGCTGACGCTGCTAGCCCTTCTAACTAAAGCCACACTAAGCAAACCAATTTAAATTGATTACTCACAGCATTGGGATCCCATGTTTGAATAATATGTTGAATAAACTGTGCTAAAATCAGACTGTTCTGAATGCTGTCTATACCTTAAGACAAGACTAAATCTAACTTTGCATTTAAACTACCTCAAAATGAGTTGTTTTTGGAACATCAGGATTATTGCAGTTTGTTCAAACTCTGCCCAAAAAATGTTCATACAGACAATATCCAACGGTGAGGTGCGATCAAACATTTAATCAGGGATCAAGCAGAATCGGTCTGACACGAAAATGAACACTGAGGGAGACTCAGTCTATGGAAAAAATTACAATAGAGAAACTATCAGTGTTCCCTAATGGTTCTCTGAATGCAATTTATTTTAAATAAATCTTTCAGATTCATGTAGAGATTCTCCTAAGGCCATGATTAGATTTTAAAAAGCAACTATGAATACATAATGGGGTTTAAAGGTTAAGTATACAACTAGCTTAAAAACAGGTAAGGCTAGCTAAAGCTCTCTGACTTTGAGTGAAGAGTTCTGAAACTTTAAAGGAACTTAAAGAAACTGTTACCTAAAGTTTCTATCTAGAGAAAAGAAAATAATTCACATCTTTTCCATCGTATAGTTTTACACTATCAAGCTGTAATGTTAGCTAATACGCAGCTGAATGCTAAATGGTCGCTTATATAATTGAACTAACGGAAAAATCAAATATGTAGTTTTACCTTTAGACATGCTCAGCGTCTCCACAGATCCGCTGTCTTTTTTGTCCTTACTTTTGCTGATCATTTCAGAAGCAGTGGTTGTTTTGGGTTGCAAGAAAAAGCTGCGAGCCACACAACAAAAGAAAAAGAAGAAAGAGATGATCCATAGCAAAACGGTGGTTTAAAAAAAGCCAATTGAGATACAATCAACTTTTCTAAATGCTTCTCTGAATGTGATACGGCGTTCTTTAAAAACCTGAGAATCCTTAAGTGTGATTTAAGCCTGGTTCACACTGCAGGAGTTTTAAAAATCTTCCCTCCAGATTTAGAATTTGGGCAGAATCCCACACTTCAGGAGAACAGATGTTCCTTTTCATAATCTCAAACATGCTCACACTTTCACAACATATGAAAATCTCCACCGTCGAGCAGATCAGGATTAAGATTGGATCTTCATACAACTCACACTACAAGATCATCTGGGCAGATAATCGGTTCTGAGCAGCCCTGAGTCCGGAGCGATTGTCGGGAAGGAAGAATCGGACCTCAAATCTGCCGGATTATCCTGCAGTCTGAGAATCTTAAGAGGTCATGATAAAGATAAAGCTAGCTAACTAGTTATTATTTTACAGTTGTGTAAACATTTACGAAGATCATCAGTTAAGAAACTGTTAAATTCCCATAATATCACATTCCACTCACAAGCCATGATGTTAGCGAAGATGGCTAATATTAGCGGCTAAAGGATAATGAAGTATGTTGTTTTACCTTGATATGGTTTGATGTCCCATTCGTTGTTTCTTCTGTCCCTGACTAATTGAGAAGCTGTAAACAATTAACTCTTACCTGACTTTCACACGTCTGGTAATTCCTCTACATTTGATTTTACCTATCATTCATTGCTCTTATATATATATATACATAAATTTAATTTAAATAATAAAGATATATCTTCTTCCTTACACTATGACATTTTAAAATCAAATCCTTTCTCCCCTTCTTCACTGGCAGTTATAAATAAATGTTTTCAAGACACAAAGCTGATTATAGCTGGGACTACAATGAGAGGAAACCCTTAACCCTTTACTAAAACTATTGAAGAAAAAGAGAAAATTCAAGAAAAGAGGAAAGTCAAAGTGATTTTATAGACACACAGCAATAAAGATCCCATCAGGCAGCAGCAGTACACTGAACAATCCTTTTCTTTATTCATTTTTTGTTTCATTTCAATATGTCTGTCAGGGTTTGTTTTTTTAAGTTTTTATTTTAAATTAAAATTTTGACACACTTATAAAAGACAGCATCTGCATAGAGTTGTCATCTTAAAGATCCATGAAGAGAGAGAGAGAGAGGAAGTTTGGGAGGAGAGAGAGAGAGAGAAAGCAAGAGAGAAGAGAGAGAGAGAGAGAAGGGTTTGGGGGGAGTGGGGTGTGGGGGGGGGCAAATAGGTAAAATAGAGGGAAGGGGGGAATACTGGCACGTCACATGAACTAAACAGAACAGCCAACAGCAGTACGAGAGAGAGGGTGGAGGGGGGGGGAGACAGGTCTGGAGGGGGAGGGGCGGGAATTTTATTTTAGATGGGGGCAAGAGAGGGTAGGGGGAGGGGGGACAGATCGCATTTACATTACGCTACGCACACATACACACACACAAAAAAAACGGGACACAAGTTGCATTTCCGGTCAAAGTTGCGTCTGGAGAGCGATGGCCCTGTCCTCTTTTTGTTTCGTTTTTTTTTTTTCTAAGTTTTGGAAAAAGAAATTCGGACCTCAAATCTCCATCTCTTTATACTGCCATTTCCCCCCCAAGATGCCTCTTTCTGACTTTAATTGTCCAACTGCATTAAAAAAAAAAAAAAAAAAAAAAAAAAAGGTGAGACATTTCTTTTTCTTCATGGTACACAATGAGCCAAATGGTGCTTTTTTTTTATGGCGTATAAAATGAGTGATTTTTAAAAATGGAGTCCGTGCAGGATGTCTGAGCTTAAAGGTCAGTGAACTCCTGCACAATGATGAAAGCCCTTGTTTCTCTAAATATTGCACGCTATGTTTCGGTAGGCCTGTGTGAGGCTAGAGATTGGGCAAGGAATTAGATGAAGACTCTTGGACAACCGTGTCTCTCAAAACCTGTCGATGGTGAAAAGCTGCCCTTGGACTGCGTTCAGAATTTAGCAAATTGCCCTCAGTCAAAAGATTGTTTCTTTTATTCACGTATTCTCTTTAATCTGTTGAAATCCAATCTAGAGTTTGACCTCGCCGGTGAGTTGTGAAGCTCAGCCCTTGGTTGAGAACTAATAAATGGAAAAAGCCATGTAACAGGAAGACTGTGGTCAAAACTTGAAGGTACACCTGGAGGGCTGAGCTGATGCAGGAACAAATTTTAAAATTGGACTACGCCCCTTTTTGTGCATTTTAACAACACTGATATCAGCCTGAAGACTAACAATGGTGCAAAAGTCATGCGAACTTAAAACAGCTTTAGTTTAAGTGGATCAGAAGGCGCTATGGTCGCTGTTAAAATGAAGACCAAGAATGAGATATGTTAGAAAGCAGATCCTCTCTGTTTTATGTTAACTGCAGACGAAGACGACGGCTAATGGGCAAATGGTTTGTTACATTTGGAACATTTTGCATCTTAGAACTTTTTCTAGTAATCAGACTGTTAGCAGGTTAGCATAGACTAGTTGGGTGCAGGCTATATTCTGGGAGAACAGGCAGGTAAAGAGACCACGTGTCAGATTTGGTGTTTGGCTAACAAGCTTTGCTTGAGAGAGTGGGACAGAGAGAAAGAGAGAGAGAGAGAGAGAGAGAGAAAGAGAGAGAGAGTTCGGAAACCCGCTCACAGAGCTTCCGAAACGATCAAGGGGGCGTGACCTGGAAAGCCCTGGAGGCGGGGTTAATTTTCCTATTATGGAGGGAAGCACTTTCATCAGAGGAGCCAGTGGGTGGAGCCTCTGGAACTGGGGTGATGGACAGAGGTGTGGTTGTAGCTGTGTTTACATCAAATACCCGCTGACACACCAAAATCTTTTCATTTCTGTCTAAATTGTGAAAGAAATGAAGAGACAATCGTGACAAATTAGAGGAACAACAGTGTTTCCCTTTTGGCCGTATTTTCAGAAAAAACATTGTTGTACACTTTACTCCCACAGGTGTGATAGTTTCATTTCTGCGGGCTGGTGCAAACACAGCATCTGAACTGGGCATGACGGACGAGGACGCTGGAAGCTATGATTCTCTTCCTCTCTTCTCTTCCTGTTGTTCTCTCACCCACAAAGAGAGAATTCAAGGACTGTTGTCGGGGAGGGCAGAGGGGAGGATGGGTGATGTTGGAGGGGAAAGCGAAAGTTGCAAAAAAGGACAGAGATCGAACTACGTGTCAACTTTGACGGGAATAGATATCTCAGTAGATTTATACATAGACATGCAAGTCATTTTTTCTCTCTTTGAAGTTATTTACAATAATTACATAACACAAAGAATCCAGTTTCAGTTTGACAAAATTGCGAGCATTCAATATTCAATATTACTACTATTATTTATGATAACATAACTCCTTTTGTACTTCTTTAAATCATTGCTATTATAGAATCATCATAACCTCCCTTCTTATGTTTTTATGTTAGTTTGATCACTTTTTGTGAAGCGTTCGCTCTCCTTGTGGGTTTTTGCAAATGTTTTACTGCATTTTCATTTGTCATTTATGGTAGTAATAATAATAATAACAATAGTAATGATAATTTTATTCAACTGTCTTTTCTACTTGCTATGGCAGAGACCATGTGGGCGTGGTCTATCTTCATGACCCCTCCCCTGACTTCTCCCACCCCTCCCACTAGGGAAAAACACTGATACAAACTTAAATACTGTCTCGTACAATGAGGAGAGCAGAGACTTGTGGGTGAAGCTTCACATAAAAAATAAAAAAATAAATCAGAAACAACGATAATATCACACTGTAGCTTGCTTGAGCAGGTCAAAGCCACGACAAAAACGAAACAAAACATTTTCATATTTTATCATCCAGAGCAGGGCACCGAACAGGTTTTGGTTTTTGAAAATTGTTTTCAGGAAGACAAAAATCATCGTAGAGAGGAGTTTCACTGTCCAACATCAGAGGAACAAAAAAGCACAATGATCTTAAATCCTCAAAGTCTTTGAACACGGTGTCTGTTGAGAACGAGCTTCAGAGACAGACCCTCGCCTGCAGGAGTTGTGCTGCTTAAAACAAATCGTTTGCGGAAGTAACTGCAGAGCATTTTGTGCCCACACACATTTTGCGTTAAAAATAATATGATACTACAGGGACTACACGTTATTATTTAAACATGTGTGAAACAATGCCCAAAGTTACTTCGGCATGCAGGCTAATAGCTAAAAGCTAGTGGTAAGTCAATCTTTGGAGTCGTGATGTCACACCCAAATTCTCTCCGGATGATTTTTTCCTGCTTTCTGTACCCCGCTCTGACAGAAACTGTACACAGCCAACAGAAGCAGATATGGCCATAGAGCCATGTACATACAGTTATAGAAATTCAGTGTGTTGGTGACAAGGCTGCAGTCCTCTCTCACACAATGGAAAATGCTCACTGTAGGTTTACGGGAGCTATAGCTAGCACATTTTTCAGTCCCTAATTTTTGCAACAACAAAAAAAAAAAGATCACTTATCTGTTCCTTTACCTGCACAATAGTAGTTCAGAAGCGTCCTTTGATCAAATGTTAAGATAACTGTGCAGCAGCTAATCCATGGACAGATTTCACGTGGACATTTGCTTGCTAGCATCTTCCGCTGGAGCAACATCTATAGCCTATGGGTCACGTTAGCATCTTTTTTGCATCCCTAATTTGAACAGATTTAACTGTTAACTGTACGGTTGTGCATTCAGGGTTGAGTGCTGTGAAGGTTACAAATAAAAGCAACATTAAAGACGGACATTTACAACGAAGCATTGTTAGCTAGATCTGCCTCATCGTAATTGACCCCGCTGTTATTTGTATGTGAAACCCAGAGGCTTCTGTCTACTGTGGAGTAAGATACCTAGCTAGCTAGCTAACCCTTAAAAACCTGCAGAGTGGCATTGATCCTGAAGTGTGACCACAGAGACTGATTAACAAGCTATACAGAAAGGGACACCAAAAGAACAAGAATAATAGCAATTCATAAATAGCATAAGAAAGCACCACCATTGTCTCCGTATATGCCTCAAGAGAAGAAGCGCATGTATGCTAATCGTTTTTACAGATGATTACTGGTCATATTTGTGCACTAAATCCGACCACAAACTAACATCAACAGGTGGAAAGAAAGGAGAGGGGATGTGGAGCTAGACGTCATCGTGGTGTGAGGTAACTACTGGGTAATTTGGTCGGGTTGATTGGCGTACAGACCAACATGCAGTGAGGGCTGGTGGTGGGCAGGGGGGCAGGGCTTTTGTTTTTATAGATATGGCATAGTAGCATTTGATGTTTTTTTATTACATATATTTTTTCCAACATTTTTGACGAACATCTCAGTGTAAACTTGACTCGCGTTGTGCTCTTTGATATTAGCGGCGAACATTTTGAGAACACATGAGGGGAGGGCAGAAAACGCTTTGGTTTAAATTTGAATAAATATAATAACAGTGATCATGGCGTCTATAAAGACTTCGGATGTCTTAACTTTTGTCGTGAATTTTAAAGAAAGAAAAGTGGTATTCATCGAATGGCCGAGAAACCCGTGAACCTGCCATCGGATGCGTCACACATCAAAACAAACTTGTGCTGCTCCGACACAATATCACACACACACAGACACACACAGTCACACATTTATGCACCAATCTTGTTTGACTGAGCAGGTAAGGAGGCATGCTGCAGACAAGGCTGGGTGGAGAGGTGACGGGAGGTTAGCCCACAGGTTTTCAGACTTTGAACAACTAAGAACATTTGCAGGGGCACTTCCTCCACAAAAACACCACACAAATGCAACCATGGAGGCAAAATATCAGAAAACGATGCTAACAGAGGTGTGAAACCTAGTGGGAGGCTTGGAGGGTCAATGTCACGGAGTTGGGGGGTGAGCAGAATGACCCAATGGACAACAGGGTTTGAAAGTTTTTGTCTTTCACATTTAAATACCAACTCAGTCTTGAAACAAAACACCTAAACATTTCAGTTACTGTTCCAACAATGGCAGAAACAAAACACAAGTTATTGCGTTATGCCAACATGTGTTTAGCTTTGAATAAAAAAATGGCGGATTAGTGTAGTTAGGTAACGTGCTAACCAAAGACAGGTCCGATGAGCAGTAAAGTGCGCGACATGGAGGGCAGGTTGGGGGTGGGGTACAAAAACACCATCATGCAAACTCCACAACGCTTTTGCATGCCTTTTTATTATTATTATCATTATCATTATCATTACACTCAACAAGATGAACAAGGGTCTGCTTGGGAGGGGAAGGGGCAGACTTCCATTCCTTTTTCTACAACCAAACAACTACAACACAAACAGGAAGAGGAGGGACAAATGGACAGCGGGAATGAATACTGGGACAAACTTCCTAATCATCATCCAGATGTTGAACAAACCATAAAGTCTTTAGTTTGTGAAGCTTGTCCATGTTTTCCACACCAAAGGGGAACAACAGGGCTTGATGGATACCAGACAGGAACAGGAAGTTTACAGAAAAATGCACACACACATACACAGCAAAGAAACATAACTCTCAACAAGCTGGCTGGTGCTAAGCATCATCACATCGCAGATTTAAATCCACCGCAACCAACGCCGCCCAACCATTGCACGACCACTGTGATGACCGTGACGTCACCCTGACAACCATCGACCATCAATAACCTGTAACTTAACAACTGACTTTATGATGTTGATGAAAGGTGACAAATGAAGCATCGTGGTGGACAAATGTATGGATGTCCTTTTGATTTTCCCAAATTTGTCAATTTCCTAATAAAATGTCTGAAACATAGAAAATGTAAAACTCTAAGATTGTCCAATGACACCTGGGGGAATGTAGTTAGGTTTGAGTAATCGTGGTTTGATATTTCAGTCATGGTTGACAGTTTCAGTGTGTACTACATTTTTAAAAACCTCTAAAAAAGCACCTAAAAGGACAATAATTAGCCATGAACATTGACAACACATCTGCAGATTCTATATCTATTGACAATTATTGTGAACAAACATCTATTGGATTTGGCTGCTTTGAGGGTTAGGGTGTTTGCTAAGCTTTGGTGAACACAGAGTGTAGTTTTGGTTACCAGAAGTCGGGGAGTAAAATGAAAACTCACGAATCAGATCGTCCACAAAGCCTGGAACTAAAAACATGTTTGCCCTTTATTTCATTTAGCAACTACACAGCATCACAGACATCTAAAACTAACAGCTCTATCTATAATGACTGCCAAGAAAACACATTTTTTTAACAGGACAATGACTATTTTTTCATGTCTACACTTCATACTGGCAGCTAGCGGTACCATTAGCTTACAACAGGACGACTAACATGATCTTGTCTTGGATAAAAATTGTTAGCCATGTTGTGGCTTTGTTTGTTTGCTTACCAAAGAAATATTATGGTTGCACTTTACAACACCAGACACTAAACTGGGGGCAGAATGTAGACAAGGTGAGCTAGCTAGCTAACAAATTGTTTTGTCAAATGAAACCTAACAACTGACTTTATTGCTTTCACACCAAGAGCAGTGTTGACTGATTTTGCTGAGTTTAAGGTAGTTTTTGTGGTTGATGATATCCTGACAGTGACAGCGCAGGATTGCTTGTGAAGGCCTCAGCAGAAGCATCACACCTCCGTATCACAGAGCCTGACACAAGCAAACCTTTCTCCTTAACCCCCCCAATCAAAAGCCAAGGTAACAATACTGTCTTGTAATGTTATACATCCCCGTGTGTCCAGTATTACACACAGACTGCATTAGCAGTAACTAAATAAAACATGCTTGTACAACACATAATAACACAACACACATATGTTGCCCCAATCTGGAGCAGTGTTGAGATTCACACATTCATCAGATAAACTGACAAATATTGTCTTCTTGACTCTATTAAGATTGGCCAATCTAAAGTTAAAAGGTAATTTGTGGTTAGTCTTAGTGTTAAGAAGTAGCCACACTGCTATCTGCAAATGCATCGTGATATTCTGATATATAGTTAAATTAATTGACGATGAATTTGATGTAATTCCATGGCTATAAGTTTCAGAAAGAGGCCAATGATCAAATCAAAGCTTTTTGTCTTTTCTTTGTTGCTTTTTACTAGCTAACGAGCTAACTAGCCTATTCCCAAATGTTCTGCTGTCATTGGCAGATTGAATTTGAAAAGAAGGCTAACTTCATTTTGAGATGCAGTGTTAAAAACAGCATGTGAAACTGTTTTTTTTTAGATGATTTTGTCTTTTTCAAACGTCAAGAACTAGCTTTCACAGTTCCGCTTTCATTTTCAAGTTTCATTTTTCTTTCCCCAACACTGCTCAGACACGCAGAAAGTGTCTTTGATATTAAGCATTAAAATAAGAACAGAAAACTCAGGATCAATCTTTGACAAGCAGCTATATGTGCCACACAGTACACAAGCTAACGCTATATCATGCTAGTTAACTAGTCCAAAATAAGCACTGGCAAGATGTGTGACACAAATAAGTAAATAATGTGTTCAATAAGGGAGAATGATCAGTGTGTCTGTGTGAAATGTTACATGTATGAGGCGTTCAAGCATGTTCTATGTTGTGTAAATATGTGAATGTGTGTGCGTCACATATTCCGCCTTCCACACAGACAATCCACCAACAGGAAATGCCTCTTCTGTTAAGTAGCACCTGTTTAACTGAGGCAATTAAACTGATAAATCAAATACCACAATCTCCAAACACACACTCAGTCAGGAGATGGAGGGATGCCGGGAGGACACAGGCAAATGCATCAAACCAGACTGAACAGTAACTGCTAAATGATGTCAGGCTGATACGTCACGGGACACGTCATGCACGCACTAAAACAGCAGCACCACGGAACAACGAAGCAACAAATGTTCCCCATAAAGAATGAAAAATCAACAATATTACCACGACACTCAGGTAACCAGGGCATGCCAGCATCTTTAGAGTTTCTACATCTTCTGTTGAAATTGTCTAGCTTGTTGGTTTTTGAAATGCTATGTTTTAGTTTATCGTTTATTCTGTACTTTTTAAAGTGTTCTCTTCATTTTTAAGAATCTTCTGGAAGAACAGCCGTGACAGCTCGGACATGACAATCAGCCCTGACTCACTTCTACATCGCCTTATGTAATGACCCTATTGGTGCAAGAACTTGAACCACCGATCCTCATTGGCTATCTTGAGTGCGGGAGGCGGGACAAGTCGTCTTCATTTTATCTAAACTGCATAGATTGACTGCCCTTCTCCTCCCACACTCCTCTAAACCCTCCTCCTCCTTTCCACCGCGCTCCTGTCGGTCAAGTTCGTGTTCTCTGCCGTTGGTCAATCTAATTCAGCAGAAAAAAAACTGGGCCCTCCCTCCCCTTGCTCTTTGGTCGGATAGGTGCGTCAAGAAGGGGAGGTTGTTGTTGTGGAAACCTGCCACTGCTAATGACACCCCCCTCACCACATGGTGTTTTCCAAACCAGTCGGCTGGTTGTGAAAAACAGTTCAGTGGGTGAGTGTCATTTTTTTTTTTTTCTTGTGATTTTACACACTGTGTTGCAAGGTTTGGGCATGCCTTTCTAAACTCCTTTAACAGGCTGACTGAGGTGAGTGACAGGAGTAAGCAACCAATGAGAGGTCTTCTACAAAGGGTGGCTGAAGCAAACAGCCAGGTTCGTCCCTCCCTCATAGAGACAAGGTAACAAAGTTGGTTCTACTTAAGCCAGTGGGTGCTCGTCCGGCAGGGCAGCATTCCAGAACATTCCAGCATTACTTACAGGATTCCAGAATATTCCATAAATACAGATGACATTCTGGAACATTGCAGAATCACTAATGACATTCCATAATATTCCTCAATTGACAGTATTCCGGAACCTCGCCGTGTTCTGTCAGTATTCCGGAACAGACTGTTCCCACATGTAGCGCAGAGCTCGAGAGCCCCAGAATGTTCTGCCGGAGCTGTCATAGATTTTGTCTTTACGTTTAAAATCTGAGAACATTTATTAAGAATGCGCTCAGTTCTACGGACGATTAAATCAAAGCAAGGAAGTCAAAAAAACAAATAAGACGTTAGCTCTGGAATGCCCATCCTACAGAACTGCCACCCAGAAGCAATCATCATCACTGTCCTCGGAGACTCCAAAAAAAGAAAAAAAAACGGTTAAAAAATAAGAAAAAAAAGCAAAACAAACAAACAAGTATATGTTATATTATAGGTCATATTTTTTTTTACAGGTAGGTAACCCATGTGTTGCTTCATATGTTCAATACATTTACATGTACATCTGTAATAAATAGGTTTATTTGTACCCTCTTTTTGTATATGTTATGTATTTAAGTCAGCTATAATGTAATGGTGTTTTTATTGTGGTTTTTTTGTCGTTGTTTTTTGAACCCCACCCAACCCTGCGGTGTTTCCTCCTATCTGTGATTGGATTGTTATCTCTTCCTAGCTGATTGGTTATCTGTCTTGCATTTTTGTTTCAAGTTTTTGTGAAGTTGTTGTCGATGGTGTTTTTCTTTTTCTCTGCTGGCGGTCGGACGGTTGGTCGGTTTTCAGTCGTCACAGCGGCAGGGGGGCGTGAGCGTCTTAGAAGCCCAGCGTGCCGCCGATGGTCGACGCCAGGACCACGCCGAGGATGACGCAGCAGATGATGATCATGATCTTCTTCTGCAGGGTGACAGGAGAGACATGAGGGTTGGTAAAGAAGGAATCAGGGAAAGAAGACGATTGGCATGACATCAAATCAAGGTATTCATTCTGTTTTAGTTATTGTGATTTCGGTGTCATTATTGTGGGCAGTTCAGTGTGTAGATGAGTTGTTGAGCCTTTAAATCTCCCAGAAGGCAAAACTGATGACAAGGCAAGTCAAAGTGCTGCGCACAAGACATCAATGGTATCATCGCAAACCATTAACAATCACAGAGAAGATTAAATATGAAAATATGTTAACGCTCCATGCACAAATTGGTTTCCTTAATCAATATTTTCTAGGCGTTGTAGTTGTCTTTAGGCATCAATGAACCCAGTTTTTTGAACGTTTTCTTTGTACTGAATAAGTTACCTTGCGGGCCTGGCTCTGGTATTTGACGGCCTTCTTGGTGTCGGACACAGCTCGCTCCACGTAGTCCACGGAGTGTTCCACGTTGTACTCAATTCTGTCAATCATCTCTCCCTAAAAAAGGTCACCCATCCCAAAGTTTAACACGTAAGACCCAAAACGATCTCTGAAAGCAAAAACACACTTTTTTTGGTTGGCACGTCACAAACCTGGCTCTCGACCAGCATGGCCATGTCGACGAACATGTCGTGCAGCTCGCGGATACTGTTTTCCAGCTTGATGATCTCGGTGTGTCGGGTCTCGATTTCGTTAAGAGCCTGCTTGGTCATTTGAGAGTCCATTTTGATCTGCAGAGGGGGCGGGTTTCATCAAGAGAGTTATATGACAGGTTTTTTTATATAAAGAAAAAAGGGGGAAAAAACTCCTTAAAAACTAAAAATATCAACAAAAAAGAACAAAAAAAAATTCAAATACAAACCACAACAAATTTCCAATTTCTCTTACTTTAAAGAAACGTCAAACCAGTCAGTTAAGAAGTACGTCGTCACAACGTAGCCTGACTGGATTAGAGGATAGAGGATGATGCTTCTCATAGACACCACTATGTTGCACATAAAACTGCTCTTAGTCACTATATGAGAGTCACTGGTTGTAATTTATGGTATTCAGTTCAACATATTTAAAATCTAAAATATTTTAATAATGGCCTTTAAAAGTCTACATCTGTTGTGTGTGTGTAATTACACAATGTAAAATACACTACTTTGTGTTTATCACTATCAACAACTAGTTTCATGACCATAGATCATTCATAAGAAGTGGATGTAGCCACCATGACCTCAAACATCAGTTTTGGATTGAGTATTTGGCAGCATCACATTTGTTTTTTGAATGTCATGCCTGATTTTTCTTTTGGAGCCAGAACTGACCATATTTGGAGCCCAGTGAGGGGTTAGCGAATGTTTTTTTAGCGGCTAACTTGATTAGCAAGGTCAATAGATTATTCAGAGTACTGTTGCGTTAATTGGGATGCTTAAGAGAGAACAGACTTTGAGAGAAAATTTCTAACTAAAAACTGAAGGGCATACTTCTTAAAGTGTGAACAAGACATTTTTAAGGCTTGTGTGGAAGTGGCTTATCAATTTGCAGGTAGCCATGCTCTAAAGCATTCCCTGCTTGATGGTCTTGACTCCAAAGGGGACCATCATTTGCCAAGTTAACTTCATGCTGTATTGTTCAAGACTTAAACCTAGAGAATCTGAGCATAAAGTTTGTAAGGAAAATGTGAACTAAGGGAATAACTCAACTGAAAAGTACGCTATTTTTTTAAGACTTCTAGGCAATTAGACTTTTTTTGTAACCATTGGATTAAAAAAATGCAGCTTTTACTTTCACATCGGCTTGTTAGACTTGGAGTCTACTCCCTCTTCTTACGTACAGTCCATGGTCATGTTGACGTTGCGCTTTGATTTGAGGACAGGGGACTGTCCAGGAGACTTCTTAACTTTAGTTATTTTTTAATGTCTGACTCTGTCACTGAATGTTTGACTGAGTAACTCAACACCAGCTGTAAATCTTGTTTTTGCTGACCTCTACTGGTTGAAGTGGCATTGCACTGTTAGTCCACGGTGACCTCACAGGTCAATGTGTTTTCAACCAGTAGAGCTCAGTGAAATGATTCGAGCCTGATGTTCAGTTAGAGCAGTACTGACCACTGATCACAACACCAGGCAGCGCTGTGATCAGCAGCAGTAGAACCTGCCTATGCTTTAGTCTGAATTTAAAAATGATAAGTAAAGATGACTGAATTAATAATATAAGAGCGTGACAGTGCAGTGGCTAGCATCTCACACATCATCCCATCATCCTTTCTGCTGTGATATGACAAAGGCCGTGTTCACTTGATGTCTCAGCGCACCTCATGGCCATTCTGCATCGCCGACAGTTAACCATAAAGATTGACGGTATGCAGAATGGCTCAGGTTAAAGTGACCCGGCTCAGCCCGGCTCAGGTGCGGTGCTTACATCATCGGTGAAGATGGCCAGCTTGCCACTCTCCAACATATCCTCTAGTTCCTCGTTGGTGGTGGTTCTCCCAGCTGTAAAGAAAGAACACAGAAGTAGAGCGAGCGTTAGAGCGTAAAACACCTCGAGCATCACTTCTGTTACATAATACATAATTTTTCAATGTAAAATAATGTACATAAACATAGTATGTTATTGTTCATTGTTGCCTCTCACAGTGGCACACATGAAAGAGTGCAGTGGGGATTTAGAATTTTAGACATTAGCATCAGGCTAACAAGTATTCTCTCACAAAAAGAGCAATTATTCAGTGTAACAACCAAATGTCAAATAACAATAAATGTGTCAAGGTACCCTTCATTGCCTTTCCTTCAAGGTACCCTTTAGGATCTCTTTTGAGGTTTCATTTAAAGGCTGTTAAGCTTATCCTTTTAGCTTTTGTAGAAAGAAGTAGGTTACTATCTAGTATCTATTTTAAGGTACAATTTAGGGACTGTTCAAAAGTTCCCTTCATTACTGTTTAAGGTACCCATATGTTTTCAAACTACACTTTACTATCTATTTGATGGCACCTTCATAGCATCTGTTTTAAGGCACTCTTTGAGTCGGTCTGTCGTTAACATGTTTGAAGCTTTTGTCTAAAAGCAGCCTTGAAGTTGCTGTAAACGTACCCATTCAAATATGGTTCAAGGTTCCCTTTAGGGTTTCTTTCAGGGCGATATTTAACAAATATTTCAGATAACCTTCCTGCCTTTGTAACATGGCACCATTGTTTTTTTCAGTGTACCCTTTAAAGGCTTTGTCTGGATCTCTTGATCCAGCAGATGTCGCCCTTGAGCACCAGCATGAAACCAAAACAACTTGCGGTGCATTGTTGTGTTAGCATGCTAATGCTAGCGATCTTTATTATGCTCGTATCTTCACACTGCATGTAAATTTACCTGAAATGAGCGTGATCTAGAAACACAGTTAAGCAGTGAGTACAGTATGTTATTCTTCTTTTCTCTAGTCCCTCAATTAAACAACTTTTATACTCGAGGGGAGGAGTCAGCCGGCCGTCCAGGCGATGTAAACAAACTGAAGATAGGACTCTGAAAACTCTGAAAACAGACAGTGGGACTCGGGTGTTACACCCATTGTAGACAGTCATGACTCACAGAGTTATTTTCAGATGATATACTTGATTTATATTATATTTAAGTGTGAAAAATCGCATATAAAGCCTTTAAGGTCGGTAACTAGGTACCCTTTTCTTTATGTTCAAATGTAGCCTTTGGCATTAGCTGCTTAGGACAGTTTGGAGTCTCTAGTGTCTGTTTCAAGGTACCCTTTAGCATCTGTCTCAAAGGACTTACTTTATGGTATAAGAGGAAATATTACACAAGCCTGGAAAACAAGAACAAGTTCTTTATATAAAAAGTGAAAAGTATTTCTATAACTGATGTCAGCAGGACTGTGTTTACATCAGACAGTCTGAGCATATTGTGTGTTACTGAACAACAACTTAGAGAGCAGTAATTGTGGCAGACGTAGTTTGTGTGTGTGTGTGTGTGTGTGTGTGTGTGTGTGTGTGTGTGTGTGTGTGTGTGTGTGTGTGTGTGTGTGTGTGTGTGAAGGTCAAAACGCTGAGAATAAAATATCCGCACCAGCTCTGCAGTCTGTTTGTTTATGTGTCTGAATCAGCTCTATGTGCTGCTGTTTCTCCACTGTGTCTGGTGTCTGGTGTGTGTGTGTGTGTGTGTGTGTGTGTTCTGCTTATTAGTCTGATTTGGAGCTGTGTGTCTTCGTGTGTGTGTGTGTGTCTGTGTTGTACGTTGATGTTTATCTGCAGACCGAGTCGACCTTGTTTGTTATCTTACAGACGGACATGTTCAAACTATAACCAGAAAATAGGGATGAAAATTAAATGATTCAGTGATTAAATGTTTGCTTATGGTAGAAAATGAGATTAACACTCTGAACTGTACTTAATACTTCGGGTCGGGACCTCGATGTAGACCTGGTTGGGGTCTTATTTGTTGAGAGAAGACAGGATTTAAGTAACATTGTGTGGCTAGGGTAAGACTTTATATCAAAGATGTTTTTTCCCTTTATCCTTTAAGCTGCGACATGACTGTCATTTATACACCTGCATTTCTGCATCTCAATCCGTCTGTTGCGTATTTTGTGTTTAGGATGTCAAGTTTTGTGTTGTAGAAAAAGTTTTCCTACAGTAACGACTACACAGCTCGATTTCTCAATTAGCTAATCTACTGATGTCATAACACACATTGTCAAACCTACATGTTTGCACTTCTCAAACAAGTAGTTAAAGTCATTGAAACAGTTGCACTTTGGTTAGATTTATGCACCAACACGACTTGGAAAGGTTTGGAACTTTTAAATATTTGTTTGTACATCAAGACAACAATAAAATAACTGAAATGTTCTGACAGGTGAAAACGAATCATGAACTACGGCCACTAGAGAGCCCTGAAGGGGTCAAGCAACGGTAAGTAGGAATCTGGTTTTGTGTGCTTTGGTGCCCACCGAAGGTCTCTGCGTGTAACTGCAGCTGTGGCTAAAAGGCTACATCTGAGAGGATAACTTGTTGTGCTAAATGAGATAATATTGTGAGGTTCCAACAGTATAAAGCTAACGTGGAGTTTGTCAAGGAAAGAGATGAAATTTGGTGTAAAATGGATTAATTTATTTATTTGCAAACCTGAGACATTACTTAGGTTAGATAACTTTGTAAAGCTGCTAAACATGAGACGACGATGACGCAGACACTGATACAGCCTGACGTTACGTCATCATCTGTTGTGAGTAATATCTGCAGGGATGTACACTCTGCTTCTTGCTTGGCGGTCACCGTCTCTCTGTCTCTTCTTAGATTCATCTGTCGTCTTCCTCTTAGCGTCTGCCTCTGAATCAAACAGCAGCGAGACGGGCTAACTGGCTTCTTTTATAACTGAAGGTGTGTGTGTGCATACGCGCATGATGACCTTGGCCCGCTGCCAAAGTTATATACAGCAGTAAAGAGGTGATCTGGCCATGTTGCTTTAAAGATGTAAAATGTCATTAAAAACTGCAGCACATCTCTCTGTTTCAGTGAAGCAGAGTCAAGTGTTGAATGTCATGTTGTGTATTGTTTGATGTTTACTATGTGTTGTATTTTGTGTGTATTATTGCGTGTACTCACTGATCTCCAGCTGTCTCTGGATGCGGTCCTTGCAGCGGTCACGGTACTTGGACTGCGTGGTGTTGTACTCAGTCATCACCTCCACAAACTTACGTGACAGCGTCGAGTGCTGCAGGACGACGCGGAGTCAAGAAAGGGACGGACGGCGAGATAAAGCGACGGAGAGAGGAGAAAGAAGAGGTTCAGTTTTGTTGTTATAAATGCAAACCGGTCGCTTAAATTACAAATCCCAGTACTTCTGCTACATGTCGCATGTCCTTGTTTCCAGGGTAACAACACGTAACATTAGTAAATTAATTGTTAATTGTCACCGGGCATGTTTTCGTTGCACGATATTTGGCAAAGCATTGCACCAAACTTGATCTACTTTGCTGTTTTTGTGCAGGTTAACATGAGACAAGCAAATCAACGGACACACTGTAGTAAAACTTGAGGGAATAAAATACACAATTAACCATATAAGGATTTAATAAAGAGAAAAAAATATATTTCATCGTGAAAGAATCTCAAATTATCAAATATATTTTTCTGCTTTTTCCCTTCACATCTAAAGTCTTCAATTTAAAGGATGCTTAAGAAAAAAATCCAAATGAAGTGAATGAGAAAAATTAGCCTAGTACTCGTAATGCAGAATTTGAAAGTGTGATTCTTGTTATTATTGGTAGAAATGTATCACTGACTACTGTTGGCTTAAATGTTTTATTTAATTATGTGTAAATGGATGTGCAGGGGGGGTTGATGGGACTAGTTTTGTAAGGTGTTGATGCTGCTGTTCTCCTCTCTTGCACCAGGAGGCAGCAGGGAGCAACATGCTGGGAGGAGAGGGGAGGCAGCAGCCAATCACAGAGCAGAATACTGCAGGGTCACATCAGAGCAATCAGACGAGAGGCAGAGAGTTTATCTGCTCTTCTATTTTTATATATATAATGTTGCAGTAAAAATACAAATACAGCAGTTTAAAAAAATATATTCTGCAGTTAAAAATTAATAAGATATTTGAAAAAAATGCCAAGAAATCATCTTTAATTTGACTTTTCATCATTACACGTCAAGTCCAGCTTTTTTTTGTGCTTACTGGAGCTACTCTCTGTGTGGGTAAAAAGTGAGTCAGCATGTTTGATGTGATACATGATATTGAGATTACATGTAAGTTTGATTTTGTCAAGGTCCAAATGAAATGTTTTTATAGGACAAGTAAGACAAAGAAAGCTCAAAAACTTCAAATCGGCTCCTATGACTCTCACTAGGGCTGGCAATCTTTGAGCGTCTCATGATTTGATTGAGAATCAGTTTTCTATTCAAACGATTCTGGAGTCATGATTCAAGATTCAAAGTCTATTTTTGAATTAATACAGAATTCAGGATCTACTCCGGTCTTCTGTGAGACTGGATGAATTTCTTGCTGCTCTATTTGGCATTCTACTGAATTAAAGAGCTAGCATTAGCGCTTGAAAAAAAATAGAGTTATGAATCTATTTAAAATCTCAGAAGATGAATCTGGATTTTCAAAGAGAAAGGTCATTGGGAGCTGAACAGTGTGCAGATATTTCTCTTTTTTCTTCATTTTTTTTAACCAAATCATAATCTTACTGAAAGTGAAAAAACAGACTGCGACAGGCGTTGTAGTAAATCTAAAAACAGAAGTATGCCCTCTGTCTTTCTTAGACGGTCTCACCTGTGTCTTGCGGATCCTGAGGTCCGCTGATGATCTGTTGAGACCCTCCTCCTGCTCGATGCTCTGCTCGATTGCTGCAGGAAGACAAACACACTCACAGGTCAAGATCGAACAGGAAAACAGCCGCCTCACTTTAATGACTTTTACCATGATGATCAAAAATATAAGCCACGTGTACCACAGCAAATGAAGCCCGTGCTGCATTCACTGTCAGTCAGATACTCTGTATTTGTTAATGTCTCAAATGATCTGTACTTATATTAAACAGGCAGTGGGTGTGACATAACAAGGAATGGATCTTAATCTGCTTCTTTTCAAGTTGTTCACTTCACTAAAAAGTGGGAAAGTACTCATCAGAATCTGGATTTTGCATCATTTTATTAAAGTGGAAGTTGTGTTTCAAAAGTGATGAGCTTAACTTGGCTGCACTTCATAAGGTTTATTGACGGACAGTTTACCGCTGCTTTCTTTAAATGTCTGATTTTGACATACTGATGGAGAAAAAACTGTAAAAAAAAAAAAAGTAACACCACCAGCATGGTACTTGCTAAGCATTCTGGGATAGCTTCTGGGAAAGACAACAAGTGGTGGAGCGAGGCGGAAACGTCTCTATGAAGTGTAGCTTAGCCACAGCGTTAATACTTTGATCGGTCAAAGGTGACATCACAGCCTGTTTCACTGCTGCAGGCTGAAGAAATCTACTGGAGCTGTTCTAAAACTATTTGTACTTATTTGTCATTAAAGAAGTTTCTTAAAGAATAAAATAGAAGAATTACCCTTCAACATTTGACTGAGCTGTGAGGATGTGAAAGCGTCGTCATATTTGGTTCTGTGAGAAAAACCCACAGCTCGGAATTATTTGATAATCGTCCTCTTTCACAGCTCAGTGTTTAACCTGCAGCCTGCCCACCTCCGTCTCAGAGGAAACAACACTTCTCCTCCCCCTCCTCTTCCGCCATCAGCATCACCTCATCACTCAGACTTTATTATTCAACCAGGGAGACACAGTTTAATAAAGTGTGAGGATATTCTTGTCTGCAGACACCTACAGAGCCAAGAGGAACGCTCAGAGTCAGCAGGATGAGGGCGACGCATTGGTCCAAACAGAGTTTACCCACAAAAGCTCTTCCTCTAGCGCCCCCCACAGGAAACACGCCTCCATAAGATACACTGCAGTTTATTTTGACATAAAACTAAAAACTTCAATGCAATGATTGACAGCTCTTTTGATGAATGCGGCTCCTCTGGTACCTTAATCAGCACAGGGGGTATTTTGGCTTCATCTGTGTACAACGGGGAGGAGGTTCAGGCATGCTGTCCATATTTATATATACAGTCTATGGTTCCTGGCTAAGAGCTGTTCAAAAGTATCAGATCATTGAAGTACTTCACATTACTGGAGGTCAAGTCCTGTGAGGTCAGACTGACTCAGATCTGTGAGAGACATACAGACTTAAAATAATCACAGCTGATCATTTACTCATCAGCTGGACCAGTGTGTGTGTGTGTGTGTGTGTGTGTGTGTGTGTGTGTGTGTGTGTGTGTGTGTGTGTGTGTGTGTGTTTGGACGCCATGGTATCCGGCTGTAGGTCTGTTCTGGTGTCATGTGACACTTTTATTTCTTTTTTTTTCTCCAGAAAGTGATAAGACAAAATCAAACACTTATATAATAATTTCCGTCCAGTGTGTGTGTGTGTGTGTGTGTGTGTGTGTGTGTGTGTGTGTGTGTGTGTGTGTGTGTGTGCGTGTGAGTGAGTGTGTGTGTGTGTTTCCTGGCTCTTTGCCCAGCTGCTCTCTGCTGGATCCATGATGACTCAGCAATATTTCGCAGCACTGATGGTGTGTGTGTGTGTGTGTGTGTGTGTTTGCTCTATTTGTGTGTATTTCTATGTGACAGTGAGATAAAAAACTGGGTGAGTAAGCAACAGATTGTGTGTTCAAGTGTGTTTGTGTGTGCGTGAGGACATCTTTAGCATCCCCAGTTTCTAACCCAAAGTGATGTTTTTTTTCTTACATAACAATAAAATAATAAGACAAGAGACTTTCAGAGACTTAAAAGTTAAATATACATATATTAAATAATTTATGGTTCAGAAGGAATGCTTGACTCACTCCTGTTATTATTCAGTTTCTCTCTGAGCTCCAGTAAGACCTCTGCTGTGTGGGTCCACCTTCCCTCGATGTAGAGAGCATGTCCTTTTGTTTTTTGTGTGCCAATATTTTTTGCTTTATCCCGTACTTACCAGATGTAAACAAAGTGTCTCAGATAAAACCACTAACAAACAAGTCAATGCTTTTTGCTGTTTGATTTAAGCCGGGGTGTAACACTTTTGTAGACATATCACCCAACAGTGGAATTGTCCGGCTGTGTGCATAAACTTCCATGAAAGTCTTCAACATCGAAGTTTTTTGTGAGTCAAAAATCAGACTCCTTCTTAGAGTCCTGAGTCAAATCTGAACTCTGAGACATTAAAAAGCCATACTTTTAAATTCAGTGCAACCTTAAGATCCCCAGAACAAGTGAGGTGCAAGTTTACAATTTCAAAGATCAAGTTCAGACTAAAATGAACAAGCTTACTTTCATTTATTGTTTTGTTTCTTTTAGCTGCATCAAGATACTCCCCCCCCCAGTTGAGCCTTCTTTGTTTCCATCCTCATCATTCACTAGCAGATATTTCCCCAGACTGTCAAGATGCTTCAACGTGATATCTCGTTTAAAATTCGTTGCTTATGAGACTGACATACGGACCCGTTTTTTCAGACCCAGCTGGCACAGTTTTCATTAAAAATGTAAGATTTATCCTGGAATCTGTTCTTATCTGTCCATAAAACTAGTCTAAACATAAAACCGTAACTTTCTATAACTTAAATGTTCATAAGAACTTGCTTCAGCAGTACCAGTAGCTGCTTCGTCCTAATTGCTAGCAGCATTCACCATGCTAAACACAAACCGGGTAGTGCAAATCCGACTTTGGCTGCCTTAAAACACAGAGCCCGTCAGACCACACTTTGTAACGCTGAGTGGTCATTAACTGTCTCCAGAGTGAACTTCATTCACCTTCTTGTTCACGAGTTGGAAACTCATTAGTTCACTTCAACAAAAAACTACAATTACTTTCTATGAACACGCCCTTAAACATTATATTTCATGACCAGTCCAGATCATTATGTTTCTAAATCCACAAAGAAATCAGAGAGAAAAAACACTCCCCGTTAAAATGATCCTATTTTTAACTTCTCGTCAGAATCAAAGTATTCCAGTGATAGTAGTCTGCTCATCCATTGGGACACTGCAAACACAAGCTACTAACAGCTAAATCGACACAGTTAGCAGTGCTAATTAGGATGAAAATTATAACCAAATATAGACTAAAAAGAATATGTGGCCCAAAGCGCACTTTGCTTACACAGTCACATTACAGTTCTTGTTTATATCCCCAAAGCTTCATCAGAGTGAGAATTGTGTAAGTATGAATTTATATCATGTTTCATCTTTAGAAAAAATCTATCCTGACGTGTTATTTTTAGTAATATATCTCATGTTACCTGCAGCCTATTGGAGCAGAGCTCAGCTGCCTGGTCTGAACACTTTTGAAGAACATGAACCTGCTGATGGCCATGTGGGCAGAGCCTGTCTCTCTCTCGCACCCTCCCCTTCCTAACCCCTTCCCCCAGGGGCGAGACATCAACAGTGGGAAACATGCTGCAGTGTGTGTGTGTGTGTGTGTGTGTGTGTGTGAGTGAGAAAGAGAGAGACACAGGACAATAACAATCGGGCCTTGTGGGGTTTCCAATTATAGCTTTATCTTGAGCATCAACGCTATTCTGAGACTGCATATGTACAGTCTGTGTATGTATATATGTATGGGTGTGTGTGTGTGTGTGTGTGCACAGGCTTTTGTGTGTGTGTGTAGTCCAACCTCTGGCTGTTCACATTAAAGCAGCGATGTCCTTGAACCTTCAGCATGAACCAATAATGCTGCACCCACTGTGTGTATTCGTGTGTGTGTGTGTGTGGGTGTGTGTGTGTCTGCATTTTCAGTAGCTTTAAGCTCATTGGCCTGCGTCTGCATGTGTGTATAAAGTGTGTGTCTGCGAACAAGTGTGCGTGCGTGAAACTGTCTTAACGATTACAGCTTGATAAATCATGGCCAGTGTTTCCGAATGTTTTTCTCCTTCTTCTGCTGAAGGTCAATGGCCGCTGTCATCCTGACCAAAGACTACCGTAAACCTTCTAATAAAGGTGCACCGTAAAGCTGCCAATAAAACAGTGTTACAGTAAGCTATCTAATAAAACACTCTTTTTAAAAAAATGTCATTGTCCCTAATAAAGGCTTGGCTGCTTCACCTGCACTTCAAGGTCTCACAACACATCCCTTTTCAATATTTCCTGCCAATGTTTCTTAATTTAAAGCCTCAGCACTCTCAAAAGGACTCCAGAAGGTGAGAATCATGGGACGGGTGGGGTCTTAGTACTCAACTCAGCTACTGTGCTGCCTAAGGCTTTAACAGGTCTTCCGTTGGAACTAAGACCCAGCAGGTTTGGGTCCAGGATCGAGCCATGTTGATGATTTAAATCCTCTTTATCAGATAACTCAGATCTTATTGGAGTCATCTATGTGTCTATATGTCATCTAAGTCAAAGTAAGGTATGGAGTTTCATATACGTTTGGTGCTTAGACAAATGATTTTCACCCTGTATATGTTTCTTTTAGTTAAGATCATGAGGAAAGACACCATTAATGTTTATCACTATGCATATGCTATCAATTATACTCATCATTGAAGCCAAATGAAACCAATCAGAATACTAAACTGAAAGCATACCATTCATAAGGGCAATCGAACGTCACTTTCGGCACGCCAGAGTGACCACTCCCCCGTTTGGGTGAAAACAACACCTGAGAATGTATCGGCGGTAGATTAGAAAACACTGGTAGCCGTGAGATTAAACGTGATTGCGAAGCTTTTTGTACTTCAAACTGTTTTAAAAACACAATTTAGTATCGGGTTTTCATTTACAAAGGACAAAGGAGGGTAAAAGAAGAGCTCTGTGTGTTTGGATTGAAACTAG